AACAGTGGTTGTAGTATTATGGATGAGGGTAACAGTGAATGAGGGTAACAGTGGTTGTAGTATTATGGATAAGGGTAACAGTGGTTGTAGTATTATGCATAAGGGTAACAGTGAATGAGGGTAACAGTGGTTGTAGTATTATGCATAAGGGTAACAGTGAATGAGGGTAACAGTGATTGCAGTATTATGGATGAGGGTAACAGTGAATGAGGGTAACAGTGGTTGTAGTATTATGCATTAGGGTAACAGTGAATGAGGGTAACAGTGAGTGTAGTATTATGGATGAGGGTAACAGTGAATTAGGGTAACAGTGGTTGAAGTATTATGGATGAAGGTAACACTGAATGAGGGTAACAGTGTTTGTGGTATTATGATGAGGGCAACAGTGAATGTCGGTAACAGTTACTGTGGTATTATGGATGATGGTAACAGTGGCTGTGGTATTATGGATGATGGTAACAGTTGCTGTGGTATTATGGATGATGGTAACAGTGGCTGTGGTATTATGGATGAAGGTAACAGTGATTGATCATATTGTGGATGAGGGTAACAGTGATTGCGGTATTGTGGATGGGGGTACAGTGATTGCACTATTGTGGATGAGGGTAACAATGATTGTGGTATTGTGGATGATGGTAACAGTGATTGTGGTATTATGGATGACGGTAACAGTGATTGTGCTATTGTGGATGAGGGTAACAATGATTGTGGTATTATGGATGAGGGTAACAGTGATTGTGGTATCATCGAGGTTAACAGTGATTGTGGTATCATCGTTGAGGTTAACAGTGGCTGTGGTATTATGGATGAGGGTAACATTATGGTTGAGGGTAACAGTGATTGTGCTATTATGGTTGAGGGTAACAGTGATTGTGCTATTATGGTTGAGGGTAACAGTGATTGTGCTATTATGGTTGAGGGTAACAGTGATTGTGCTATTATGGTTGAGGGTAACAGTGATTGTGGTATTATGGATGATGGTAACAGTTGCTGTGGTATTATGGATGAGGGTAACAGTGATTGTGCGATGAGGGTAACAGTGATTGTGGTATTGTGGATGAGGGTAACAGTGGCTGTGGTATTATGTATGAGGGTAACAGTAATTGTCATATTGTGGATGAGGGTAACAGTGATTGTGGTATTATGGATGAGGGTAACAGTGAGTGGTATGGTATTGTGGTAACAGTGGCTGTGGTATTATGGATGAGGGTAACAGTGATTGTGGTATTGTGGATGAGGGTAACAGTGATTGTGGTATTATGGATGAGGGTAACAGTAATTGTCATATTGTGGATGAGGGTAACAGTGATTGTGGTATTATGGATGAGGGTAACAGTAATTGTCATATTGTGGATGAGGGTAACAGTGATTGTGGTATTATGGATGAGGGTAACAGTGATTGTGGTATTATGGATGAGGGTAACAGTGATTGTGGTATTGTGGATGAAGAGGCATATTGTTTTATTTCATAATACTAGGATACAGAATGATTGTTATATTGTATAAAAGGTTTTTTTTGCCAGTGTCTAGCTCATGTTTTTACTAGAAACGTTTGTTTGGGAATTGGGAAACACAAACCTACCAATAACAAGATATTCTACCAAGGCAACAATATAATACAGATTAAACAGTAAAGGTACAAATTCTGGTCAAATCAAATTTGAGCTCATAATCATTTTCTGTCATATTCAATTAGTGCAATAACTAATTTGTGCATCCACAAAAATTGTGATATATATGTAAGTAGCATATAGAAACTATCCTTACCATATTCACCAGGATGTCAGACGGAGAGTCAGTTTTTGCATTGTTTTCTATTTGATCCACATATAAGCGACAGCAAAATATAAGCAGCACTGTTACGTTGACCAAAGACAACTGAGGGCATTTTATCAAGATCATCAATGAAATATCTATTAAGTTTGTAAAAGAATTATACACGGATAATCCTTTTTTTTATCAATTTAACAATCTCTTCAGCGGTGCCTGTAGTGTTAAATATTAACGAAGGCCCTTGCATTCTGACTAAATTTGTAAGTTACACAAAGCCATTCATATCACAAACAAGCATGGTGGTCATTCTAGAATTTGCCCTATAACCCGATGACCGATAACTCCCAGGATGCAAAATGCTATTGTAAATTTCCGTCATGGTGTTGAAAAAGTCCAGAAGATATTATTAAGATTCATATTAAAAGGTATGATTGATTCAATCTCGTTAATTAAATCCACAAGAATGTTATTTTTGTTTCAATCTTCAAATCATCTTGTATATGATTGCAAATGACAGTTCAAGATGATCTGTTTCAGTCACAAACACGTGACAAGTAGGTATTAAGAAAAAACTCAGTACAATCTCTAATGGTGGAATGATACGCTGTCTGTTGCTTCCTTTTTTTCATCCGGACATTTTTTTTTCATCAACATATAAGCCTCACTGGTATATAAGCTGCACTCCCCACTCACCAGGAAAAAAAGTGTGGCTTATAATCCGGAAAATATGGTAAGCAAATTATAATTTAACGCAATACTTCCAATGCAAAAAGCAATAAAATAAAACTTTTCACTCCTGAAATATGTTTTCGTTAAAAATATATTAAGAATTTGTATAAAAATCTCAATACATATATTTTTATTGTATTGTTTTTATTCTATTCATACTAGCTATGCATGCTTTTATTGAGATATGGAGCAGAATCATTGTGATATCACAGTGAATCCAGTTATAACTATTGTCTCCATGTAAACCTGGTCATCTAGTGGTGTTGTAAAGAAATGGTGATGTAACATGTATCAATAAATTATGTAACTATGTTTTAAATCACAAACCAAATATTACAAAAAATTTACCTGAAGTTTTTAAATGTTTTTATATTCACATATTATTTCCATCAGTTTGTAATTCCTTCATAAATTGATCACTATTATTTGACAAATTGTGTTTAATGAATGTGAATTATCAAGCAATACCCATTGATGTATTAAAATACAGGTAAAAACAGAAAATCTAGAATTATCTCTACAGGAACAAAGCTTTCATCAACCTTACACTATTTAAACATGGGTTATCAAAGTTTATGTTACTCATTCCTGCACTTTATGATGCAGTAACGTTTTTCAATTTTGCACTTTTTAAAATAAAACAAATTAAAAATTTTCCATAAGGCAGCACACAAACTCGTGAAATAGTGAACAAGGAATCAAATATTACACCCAAATCTTTCAATGCAAAACCTCACTTTCCATCTTCTTCATTATTCCCTGAATGAATTGAGGATTTAAATCATCGTAAATTATTGTTCATAGTGTGTCCACACATGCAGGAATGCTTTATCCAATAAGAGCTAATATATACTATGCATAAGCCATTATACAGACAACACAATCCACTATATTTGTTTTTTGATAGGTCTCAATCAAAACTATCTGGATTTTTTTATTTTCCCATGATCAAGAAATTTTATTACACGGTTTTGCATTAATTTAGTGTTTGTGGTATACTGTAATTTTGTACCATACAAAACAATTTTAACTTTAGAATCTGAATTAAGAAAACAAATAGTGAGATCTGACATTTATGCAATGTCTATTGATTAATCCCGATTACTACTGCTACAAGCATGCCAATTTCAGTGGCCAGTAAGGCGATACGGTTTGTTGACATACACCAACCTAGACACCACACTTGGGACAGTAGGATCGTAATGATTGGCTGTCTTGATACACTGGTGGGCATCACCAGCAATTTTTTCATACATTATTCAGTACTATATAACCTATAAGCTATGAAATGTTAAGAGATGTAGCAACACCAACATATGTACATGTGTATTAACTGCTAGGTTACATATTTACAAGCTAGTCTGACCTCCTACTGATAAAACAGGTCACACACATATCTCACCAGGATACACACATACACAAACCCTACATGTAAACATTCAACCATCAGTTTGTTCTCAAATTAACCCATTAGTAATATTTCACTGCATTGCCGTTTTAGCTTCAACAGTAAAATATGAAATAATAGGTGAGTCAGCAGATATGTAAACATTGGGAAGGAAATCTAGTAATATGTGTATTGAGTTCCACACTGTATATACAGCAACAATGCTTAACATGTAGGGTGCACAGTAGGATCATACATAAGATTATATCATATTTAATTATATCGTAGACAGGGCTGACCATATATGTATACCCTGTACTAATGCTAATAAAATGATCAGTTACAAATGATCTGTTCCGCAAAAATCACTTAAAAACTAATCTCACTGAGCACGATCAAGAGGTCTAAATAAGAGCAACAGATAAATCCAATTCATAACACAACGAAAGTAGGATTCAGTCGTGATTTCATCATATTATTTATTGAAAACAATTATTAATATTCTCCCTTGGCAAATGATAAAAATTAGAGAACAATATATAAACAATAGCATTAAGGTTTTATTTTTTTACTCCAACAATTTTTAATGGTCTCCACAAAATTGATTGATTTTTCAATTAATATAACTTGTAAAAAATCATTACCTATGCAATATCTAATAAGTACTTTGCATGGTAACATGAATTGTGTTTTCAAAACAAGCAGCCTCCTCTGTGTGCACCATATAAATAGAAACATTCCATTTCATTTTAAAAAAGGACCTATTTCCAACACTCTCATTTTTATTTGGTCCTCAGCCATACAGAATTTGCCAGTATTGAACGGTATGGGTCTGTATTGCTTGGAATACAGCAAGAAAACTCATTAGCATAAGCGAGTGATTCTATTGCGACAAACCAACCGACGTCACAGATACACAAGCGAGAGCATCTTCTGCTATGCAGGTCATTTTTAGAACTTGCATCCATGTTTTCATCAAATGCAGTAACACTTAGGTACAGCTCATTCCTATAACGGGTAGGTTGTGTACCAAGGGTACGATAAAATGTCAAAATAGAGCTAATAAATAAGAATATATGCTAATGATATGGAAAATCATAGGAATATTTACCTCCTCCCGAAGATCCATTTAATTCTATTTCGACGTGTATCTTCCCATTGGGTTCTAGGTCAACCTGGAAAAGGGATAACGGTGTTACAAAAGCAAACATCATGTCGCGTTCTCTATCTCTAAATCATACGATAAAGCATTCCACAAAATAATAATGATCGTATTGGTAAATGGTGAATAGCAAATCCCGAGACAACGGTTAAACTGTACCATAGGAGTCCTCGCTTCATTTTCTCCGTGCCTCCATCTTGGAAATCAACATCCTAGTAGAATTATGTACGGTGCACAACCAGACGGCTCGTAAGGTGACTTGGGACAACATAAGCCGATGGTAGCATGGTTAGATAACACAACAATTCATACATACCCACAAATCTCGGTGTCTCCCTTTCACTTCCTCGAATGTCAGAGAACAGTTGGCCACGAACTCGTCGGGTGGTATCGCGGCATCGTGAAATACTGTAAGTCCAATAGTCTGTCCATTGTGAACAGACGAGGAGAAATCCTCGTTCCATACTGGTTTTAACGTTTTAGGTTTTGTGGTCGTTTTAGCAATAGGGAGGTCGTCCACATCTATCGCTATATACGGATCAATGAGTTGCACATTTTTCGTACCACCCAGATTCAATCGTGTTGCGAAGTCAGTCGGCCTCAAGTCAACTGCTTCGCAAATTTTTAATTTCATGGATCCATTGAATACATTTGCCATCGTGGATGTTAAAATCCGTCATAGGCGGTTGTTGGGTGGACCTCACTATATCCTCCTAGCTATACAGTGGACCCGTGTAAACACAAAACACAGTTACACAGTCCACCGAGGACCAGACCATCTCCGAATAATTGGCAGCCAGTCACGGAAGTCCTACTAATGGAAAGGAATATGCTACAGGGCTTGTGCGCATGCGCTAGGCAAGAAAAAATCTCTACAAACCTTTATCTTTATGTATGAAAATTCCCTTTCTCATAGAAAATGACCAAGCAGTTGATTGTTTGATTTCAATACTTTATCTTACATGTCAGCCATTAATTTTTTGCGTAATCAATGGAAGTGTTAGTCAGGAGAACGATGGAAACGATCATGCAAAGGCCTTACAGAGGAATATATTTACATTATTAACATGAGGTAACTTCAGTATCATCATCATCATCTTCATCATCATCATCAAATAAACTGTGATTGGAATGTGAGTTGAATTTCGACAGGATATTCTATCATTTACATGGAGGTAAATTCTTATTTGACAGTTATAGTGATAATTATTCAAACTGATCGCAATATAGATTCTTATTCAGTTTAATATTTATATCATCATTTTTTTCACGTCGTCCTTATATATCTCTGATGAAAATTCATTAAGATCGAGATCGTTAGAGGCTTTTCACTGCCGTCGTCACATTTTTTATTCAATATGCGTGTTTGTTTTTTTTGTTTTTTGTTTATGTCTTTTTTTTTTTTAACTTTTGGTTCTTTCTGCTTTTACTCTATGTAATGGTATAATACTAACCTCGTCTATTGGTGTATTGACAAACTAGGATTGTCTGTGACCGAAATATCAAGGAAATCCATCATCATCATCATCATCATCATCATCATCATCATCATCATCATCATCATCGACATCGTCGTCGTCATCGTCATCTTCTTCTTCTAGACTCGTATAACAGCAGAGTCACCATGTCACTTTTGTTGTTGATGGGTATACTAATATTGGATTGATAGTAAGGTAGTTATCACCTGGATCTGGTTACCTGACTAAACAAAGATGTTTGATACGGCTGGTAAGTTACCTGTGATAATCTCTGTCATATTTATACGCCCTCCGCGTACAGATCAAACACCCGTGTATACTACGGCAGCTACTATATTGGATACAGACAATACACAACTGACCTCTGACCTCTGTTGCAGGTGAGACGGAATACATCGCGTGCGTCATCAGATGGACACCTACGTCAGACACGTATATCGGTTAGAAAGGAATTGAAAGCAGAGATCGATTTTGATCCGTCCATTATTTTGAAGGTTGACTGCTGTCGTAGTAAGCGATAATATATGTCAACATTGTCTATTTTTAAATGAGAAAACTCGGCGCGGATAAAATTGTCAGTAGGTAATGAAAAATAAATATAATTTCGTATTGAGGATAAGATACATTTGTTTATATTCTACAATAGGTTTCTACACCGCTATTAACTGGCGCTGATCTCTCGTCGCCTGAAATCATGCTTTTGGGGTTTAAAGTCCGCATTATTTAAAAAAGGGAATTAATTAATCTTTGAAGTTACTTCTTATTGATACTTGTTTATAATACACACTATCTTCGGTTCTGTATACATTGTATTGTTGTTGTTACTGTAACAATTTAGTACCAGGGTAGCTGTCTCTCCCACCCTCCTTCACTGCCTTTCCAATTATCTTTAACCTGTTGTAGTTTGGCAGTACTATGTAGATAGGCATATATACGTTAAGTCCTTCAAAATCTACTATGTACTTTTACCACAGAATGTTTACAATTTACAAGACAACATTATTTTACTGTCATTATGAAATAATCATCTCACCATCTACAAGTACTTTATAATTAATGAACAAAAAAATGTCCATTAATTTTTTCAACTTACGAACTGTTGCCAATCATATTTCAGATCGTCAGATTTTCTGTTAACAATCTTACATCGAAGGGGTTGGGTGGAGATTGCTCATCGACCGCATATTTGAAAGTTTAAACATATTTTAAATAGCAAGTTTTAACAATTAAGACTTTAAAAACCAATTAAAGAGTATACATGAAATTTAGTTGTCCTCTCCACATCATAAGCCTATTTCTTAGTGCATAGTTTTAACTTTTATTTTGTTTTCACATCCTCCGAAGTAAAACTTTCTTTAAAACAGCCCTACAAAAAGCAAAATCTGTGTTTTCAAGACTTTTGTTAACAAATATTATCCCATTTGCTGGACCAGTTTCGTGCATTCTACATATAACGGTTAGTATGTTGGGATGGCCTATAGACAATGAACTTGATGCAAGAAACGGTTTTATTGAGAAATCAGCCTATGGGTTTGATTCATAACTAGAGTTGGATTTACTAGATGGAAATATGTTTTTAAACAATAGATCTGGATGGACATGTGTGTTAGTATCATGGGCATTTCTTCGGACTATTGACAAGTGATATTCAGTCACTTTAAACGGATATGTGTCGCGGGACTATGGATGAGAGGTATTTTCCTTCGGACGGAAATGTGTCTCAGGTCTATGGACGAGAGGGTACGCATTTGACTTTGGACGGAGACGTGTGTCAGGACTATGGACGAGAGGTATTTGACTTTGGACGGAGATGCGTCTCGGGACTATCGACAATAGACTTTGGACGGAGACATTTCTCAGGTCTATGGACGAAAGGGTACATATTTGACTTTGGACTGAAATGTGTCTCAGGTCTATGGACGAGAGGGTACATATTTGACTTTGGACTGAAATCTGTCTCAGGTCTATCGGGACGAGAGGGTACATATTTGACTTTGGACGGAGACGTGTGTCAGGACTATGGACGAGAGAGTATATATTTGACTTTGGACGGAAATGCGTCTCGGGACTACGGGCGAGAGGTTTTTTCATTTTGGACGGAAATGTGTCTCAGGTCTATGGACGAGAGAGTATATATTTGACTTTGGACGGAGATGCATCTCGGGACTATCGACTAGAGACTTTGGAAGGAGACGTATCTCAGGTCTATGGACGAAAGGGTACATATTTGACTTTGGACGGAGACGTGTCTTGGGACTACGGACGAGAGGTATTTTACTTTGGACGAAAATGTGTCTCAGGTCTATGGACGAGGGAGTATATATTTGACTTTGGACGGAGATGCATCTCGGGACTATCGACTAGAGACTTTGGAAGGAGACGTATCTCAGGTCTATGGACGAAAGGGTACATATCTGACTTTGGACGGAGACGTGTCTTGGGACTACGGACGAGAGGTATTTTACTTTGGACGAAAATGTGTCTCAGGTCTATGGACGAGATAGTACACATTTGACTTTGGACGGAAATGTGTCTCGGGACTACGGAAGAGAGGTATTTGGCTTTGGACGGAAATATGTCTCGGGACTATGGACGAGAGGTACTCGAGTCTGGATGAAAATGTGTCTGAAGATTTTGGACGAGAGGTATTTGAATATGGATGACAATGTGTCTCGGCACTATGAAAGAGAAGTAATCGTGTCTGGACGGATATGTGTCATAGGACTGTGGATGAGTGATATTTGAATTAGGATGGATATGTGTCTCAGGACTATGGACGAGAGGTATTTGACTTTGAACGGTAATGTGTCTCCAGACTTTCGACCAGAGATATTTGGGTTTGGATGTAATTTTTTTGGTGTTTTAAGATATTGTACAATCTGTGTCAGTGAACATACGGCTAAATGTTAATGTTTAACGACTAGGTTGTGTGCTTAAGGGCTAGATGGTGTGTTAGGACTAGTGTCGGGAGGAGATTTAGGGGTGTATGGTTACGTTTTAGGACTACTTGGAGTGTTTTAGGATAGTTACGAATGTGATTTTGGATTTGATAAAAACCTTTTAGGGCTAATAGAGGTGATTTAGGATAGTTACACGTGATATTTAGGACTGGATGGTAACGTTATATAACTAGATGGTGTGTAAGGACTAAAGACGGAAGGGATTTATGACTGGATGGCTACGTTTAAGGACTAAATGGTGTATTTTAGGACTAGTGACAGGAGGGATTTACATTAATTGGCTTTAATTAGGACTGGACAATGTCTTTCATGATACGTTTTTGTCTTTTAGGACTGGAAAGGACATATCTAGACCAGTTGGCTACATGTATGAAAAAAAGTAGGAAATAAGACTAAGCATAATGTAAATACGAATTGGTTAGTATATATTATTAATATATATACGATATATACAACCGAATGGGCCACGTGTGACCTAATTTTAAGAACTACGTTTGTATTATTACATAGTACCGGGGATTTAGGGGCATGAGGTGTGGTGTAGAATTCTTCCAGAGTATGTAATATAACCTATTGGATATTTTCTAGTCTCGAACTTTATTTTATGACCAGATAGCTGCATTAAAGATAAGGCGGGCGTGTTTTATGAGTAAGCGGATATGTTTTGGGGCGGGCCGATTTATCATATTTTGAGACCAAATGGGTTTATTTTTTAGGGTGGGTCGATTTGTCATATTTCAGGAGCAAGAAGGGATGTACCTAGACGTTTGTATTATATGATTTGACCATTTCATATGGCATGTCAGTCATATCTTAGAACTAGAACGGTCAGTATTGTACTAGACGGATATATTTTAAGACAAGGCTACTCCAGTATAATTTTCAGACGATAGAATAGAATATAAAACAGTCTTTCGAGTAAAACGAAACACCAATACATTACTGTCAGGGCCGCGATAGTTCATAAGATTAGGAGACTTCATATGACGATCCGAGGCGTGTGGTTCGATCCCTACAGCCGGGATCTGGTTATATTTCAAGATCATGGAGTGTCATGTACTGTCGTAGCTATGTCCCTGAGGAAGAAACTTAACCCAGATTGCATTGGATAGCATATGCATGCCCCCTCCCCCGCAGTGTGTTCAACGGGAAAGTTACCAGTTACTACAAGAAAACTCCGTCTCAAAGCAAGTAAGCTAATGGTAAAACAACAGATACAGTCTTGTTTTCTTATGACTTGAGGTTCCTTAGATATCAGAAGTGAATGTCTAAAATATGAACATTTAAAAATATTTTTGAAATTTTACAAATATGTCACCTGCTCATAAAATTCAAGATAAAATAATTATTTTACATCTCGCCATCATTAGAAACATGGTAGGAAATATATGTTATAACAATCATATATCTGATGTAGGTACAAAAACTAAATACATAAACATTTCTATAAATTACTAATTGACCTAATGGATTTCACATTTAAAACCACACTTCATATTTTTATCTGAATACAGAATGTTGTGGGGGGGGTCCACTGTCAATTATGATTTCTACGTTACTTTAAGCTACGATAGTATGTAATGCTTTCGTGAATTTAAAAAGTCGGTCAATTTCGGTCTTAGACAAAATGGTCTGTAACACAATCAACCTCACTCTCTATCTCCATCCCTTAGATCGTGACTATTTTGATCACCTAAACGTTTGTAGACAACGTAGGAAATTCAAACGCTCTTGCGATTAAGGGAAAATGCAGTAATGGCCGCTTGCAGACGATTTTGGTTGTTGTCAGAGGTCATAAATACTACAAAACGATGCACTGTAGATGCTAGGTGAGTTGATACCAGCCAAACAATTGTAGGAGTATTTATGATAACAACGTATTCGACTGTATGTAACATAGAGAGATGATACCACCCGTAGACTCTGTTGCTTACCAGGCTTAATCAAATTACGTCATACTCGGTATCAACGTATCGTAGTTCAAACCACAGGAGTATGAAGTTCTGTCAATGAGAACACACGTAATAGTTACAGTAGACGGGCTATTTTCATAACGGTTCCTATTGTCTGACTTCTTTTTTAAACTTTATCTCTTTCATCCCGACCGTCTCATGCTGTCATGATCTCGAGGAACAAAAACCCTCTATGCTCAGACACTTTAGTGCACTCGTATAGGTAACGCATGAATCAAAGGGACAATATTGAAAGGGCATTACGAGAGCGGTAAGTTGAGGAAGTTCCATCGAATTATGGAGATTTTTAGTGTACATCGGATACATTTAACTACTGCGATAATATTCCCAGAAATGATGCACATGATCATACAGACGATGATGAAGAAGATAGACTTCAAGGGATAGCCGTTTTTTATTGTATAAAACCAAAATGAGTTTATTTACCAGTTTGATATCCCGTTCCATCCCACAGTTAAAGATGCATATTGGGGATTAAGGGAAAGTTTGAGAAAAAATAGCCATAACAAACATTAGCAAGTCAAAGTCTGTCTACACACAGAGATGGCCACCTGTCAACCAAATTGTTGTTCCTATCATTTAGAAAGTCGAATATGAATAACTAGGAAATAGAAGCGTCAACATAAGAAGTTTGAGAAAGATGTATACAGCACCTCTCAAAAAATAGCATTAACAAACATTCATCATCAAAATCCAAGATATCCTGTCGTCCATTTTGTATTTCAGATCAGTTCCACAATCAAAAGGACAAAATTATGCATCGGGGGCCATTCACATGAAACCTGAGAAATATCTACCCATCATGATCCATTATTACTTTTCAAGAAATAGCAATAACAAACTAATACTGTCAAAATATATGATGACTATTTCTCAGCCATATTGTTTATTTCCTGATCAGTCCCAAACTAGACAATGCACTACTAGGACCCAAGGAGATTCTTCATGTGAAATTTTTAAGTGATCCACACAGAACTTTTCCAGAAATTTTAATCGCAAATTAGGACTGTTAAAACCTTAGATTGGTGCCTGTCACCTGTTTTGATTTTTTTGTAATCAGTCCCCAATAACAATATTGCATACCAGATGCATGGGACTCCACACATGAAATTTTAAATTGATAAATCAAGTACTTCTCTCAGGAAATAGTTGGTGTATTGTCTGTTGATAGATGTATTTTGGATCTGATTGGAAATCAAAATGGTTGATAGATGGCCATATTGGATTTTGACATTTAGTTTGTTATTCCGTGATGTACCCCAACAGGGTTTTCTTAAATTTCATTTGTAGGTTCCTCTTGGTTCCTAGTTGTGCAATGAGACAAAGATTATATCATGGTTTGTGCCATAATCCCTCTTGAATTGCATATTTTTGCAAATGAGCAATTTAGGCTAAACGCATGTAATAGATGTATGTAATTTATCCTTTCATGTGATTTGCCAGTTATTCAATGTAATACACCTTTGTGTGTTTGTATTCAATGTCACTAAATACAGATTGATAAATGTGGATGTAGTGTAATATAATACTCACAATTTCCTGTTTTATTTATTTATTTATTTATTTTTTTTGTTTTTTTTTTGTTTGTTTTTTAGGAACAAGACTTGGTCACAAGGAAGGCAAGCATGCATACAGAGATATCTGTCTACACAAACAGAAGAAAAAGTATTGCCTGACACAATACAGCTGAGTGAGAGCTGTGTTAAGGTACATGATTAATTTAACCGCAGGAGTAACATCAGTGTCCAGAGATCTCCTCCCACAGTTTTGAACCAGTCTTTTTCAAACTTTATAGTTTTTAACCATGACATGAAACATTAAGTTGTGTTATCCTGAATGACAGTTTGATTAGACCAAATGTGGAAGAGTTACTGCCCCTTGTCTTCTTCATGTTGCTTATGTTATACAGAGACATCCCACATTTTTCTAGTTTTCTTTTTCAAACTTTGTAGACTCAATCACCATGACATAAAGTTGTGTTTTCCTGGACAGCAGTTTGATTTATCAGTATTTGGAAGAGTTACTGCCCCTTATTGTTCTCATAGTGTAAAACTTGTCCAGAGATATCGTCACTCAGTTTTCAACCCATTTATTTCTTTGGTAAGCATCATTACCACGACATGAAGTTGTGTTTCACTAAATTTCTGTTTTATTGACTGTACTTGGCAGAGTGATTGCCCCTTATTGTTTTTGTAATGTTGATCTTGTCTGGAGATCTTTAGACGGATTCAACTCATTTCTTTAGAATTTCGTAGGTTTTATAGTTATGGCACAAAATTGTGGTTTCATTAATAGTAGTTTGATTCAACAATCTCTGATGAAATTTCTGGTCTTTGATTTTTTAGCATTTTCATTTTGTACAAAGATCTCCTTCGTCAGTTTTTGTCCAACTTCTCTGAAACTTGATAGGCTTTGAAACCATCACATAGATACCACTTGCCGTGGTATTGTGATATTTCAACATTTTTTCCTAGTATCTCCTTCCTAAGTTGATAGCCAATGCCTTCGAATCTTGTTTTCATTTTTGATTTTCTTGATGTTTTGACTCATTACTACCATATGCATAATTGTATTCTTTTTGATACATCAAATTATGAATATTTCTTTTTCATCGGATGGGCATATATTGTACAACCCCGTGGTGCTGTTGATGATAAATAATGACATAGGAATGGCCATTTTAGTACAGCACAATATTTTTAGCATAAAAACAGCAGAAGAATGTACTTTACAATATTTCACTGCAATTAGTTTTACAGTGAAAATGTTGATATTGAAGATATTCTGGTGGTTTGGTTTTGTCCTTAGGTGAAATGGTAAGAAAAATATGTTCAGACAAAAACCCTGGTATAAAAGATAGACTGAAACACATGTAACATGTTGGAAACTCCAGCTATGTTTACAAGTATGTGTTTTATATATAGATAGGAAACTATTGACATGTGTATGAAAATTGTTCCTTCCAAAACTTGAGAAATGACTCCAATGATTTTGTAATGTTTTGATTTTGAAGACAATTTTGTTATTGTCTGGATACATTTCTTCAAAAACATGCTTTGAAGAAGATGGAATTTCTTGTATAAATTTATGTTATTTCCATTTTAGCGATTAAAAAGCTTGGATGATAACGGCTGTCTACGAATTATTGTAGAAGGAGGTGGATGTTCAGGATTTCAGTATAAATTTGACCTAGACGCAACAATTAATGAAGATGATCAGTAAGTTATCATTGGTATTTTCTTTCTTTACTCAGTAGGGGTGATAGTGATTGCTTGATATCTGTGGGTGTGGTCATCAGTCAAGATTTAAGGGTCACAAGTCGTACATACCCACTATTGAAATGAAGAAATCAATAGATGTTGATAGTTATCAAGGAAGGTTATTGTAAACTTTCTATCACATGCCACTTACGTTCATGAGTTTTTGTGAAGTAAGCAAATAAGTAAAAATTTATGGCTATAAGATAAACGTGAATAATATACACCAGTTTTCATAGTCAATTTGATTAATTACAGAGGACTATTTATTGTATAAGCTCCTTATCCTGAATTTCTTGATAGACAGATTGAGCTTCCCATTGCTATCAAAACAGAAGCAGATAACACCTAATTCTTTACATAGATATGGGGTAGAATCTCTTATGGACTTTGAAAATGAACTAATTTGGAAGTTAGATTGTTTTGTATGTCACAGTATTGTACCATATACAATGTTGTTAATGAAGTTTCCAACCTTTTCTCAGTTTGGGAAAAGGTTACCAGGAAACAGACAAGTGTCCCTCACATGCTCTAAAGCAAGCTTTACCTGTCATGGCAAATTAGCAACCAAGAATGACATACCTTTTGGGATTTAAAAGAACGCGGTAATTTTCAGTTTTACAATGGTGGTTCAGATTTTCAATTGAATTGAAGTGAACTTGTTATATTGCTGAAATCATTATAATTAGTAGCTACCAAAGAAAGTGGGTCAATAGTATTAATGGTCAAAAGTCATAATTGACAAGTATTTAAACAATGTCCTCTAATTACTGGTTATCAGATATTCTTTTTTCTGACCAGGAGGTTGGGAATACTTGTGTAAGCCCACTTCTTCTGCAGTTCACTTTGGAACGACAACACTGAAATGTTTGTTTCTTTTTTTGGCAGTTTATTTGAAAAGGATGGCGCTAAAGTGGTTGTTGACACAGATTCACTGGATTTTCTGAAAGGATGTACAATTGATTATCATGAAGAACTAATAAGATCAGCTTTCCGTATTATCAACAATCCTCAGGCTGAGCAAGGATGTTCGTGTGGAGCCTCGTTTGCTTTAAAGATGTGATGTCACATTTCTTATGAAGTGACATCAGGAATGTGTAAGGTTCTTGATGTCATGTAACACAGGAAGTGACATCAGGAATATGTAAGGCCTTGATGCCATGTAACACAGGAAGTGACATCAGGAATGTGTAAGGCTCTGGATGTCATGTAACCTAGGAAGTGACATCAGGAATGTGTAAGGTTCTTGATGTCATGCAACGCAGGAAGTGACATCAGGAATGTGTAAGGCTCTGGATGTCATGTAACACAGGAAGTGATAGTGACATGTAAACTATTTAATAAGTCCACACTGTATATGAAGCTTAGTGTAGATTGTTGATGTGAAAATACTTCTCTATTCTATAGTCTCCTAGACAGACTTATGTGGGGATACCCTATATTTATATTAAATGATCTGCATGTGTTGTTGATTATAGCAGATGATGTTGACTGATTTGTGAATTTTATTTACTATCGTGTCAGGATAAACCATTAACTATAATGTGGATATACCAGGATACACTCTGTCAGTTTAGCTTGATATGTCTATTTCAGTCAACTGTTCTACTGTATGGACCAAGAGATGGTGAACCAGTAGTAACTCTTATTTAAATTTACTGTACATGCATTAATTCCCTATCTGATGTAAAGGTTATGTGTATCTTACAAATTTAAATATCTATTAAATCTCCACGGCATGTCATTTTACTGCAAGTGATGTGAAATATGTACATTTCTATAACAGTATTTTGTCTGCTTTAAACTCAGGAGGCCAACACAATATCTTTAAGTCAGGACGAGATAGGCTCATTACAGAACATTGATTTAGCATTTGTTGATATTTCTTATAAAACTGCAATAGACACAGGATAAATAAATTGTATATTGTACATGTAGTTGATAATCAAAACTGTTTTCATTCAGTCACTGATTGTAAAACGGACACTGGCCTTTACAGCATCAAAATGATTGGAGTGTGTTTGTGTAATATCAATTCTGTAACAACATTACAAGAGGAAAGAATGATTGTAACTTACAGATGAAAGAATTGTCAGTGTAGTTTAACTGACCATGTTACATGACATTCCCTCTTGCCTGAATTCAGACATGTTGTTCCCCAGATTTTTCTCTTTTTGACGATGCAAGAAAAAAATTACAACTTACTGAAGCAATTAATTTGTTGTCAGGAAACTTAAACTGAAGCTTGAAGGATATTATGCAGCCATTGTTCAGGATATTCAAAGTTTGTACATTCTGTTCTTTATCTGTATTTTCAGGTAAATTTCTCAATGTCACAGGAAATGATATGGATGTTTGTCTGAAATATATTCTAATGTACAATTAGGTATTTACTGCTCCTGTCTGGACTTATGTTATTCTGACAGTATTTATAACTCTTACATGATTATGTTGAAAATCCAATTAAATTGCTGTTTATATCACTACAGGTTGTTCTCTATGATGGTGTACCTGCAATTGCTTTAAAGACTATGGGACCTTCACTTAGCAGTTCTATCATTTTTTTGTAGCAATAACTGAAATAACTCTGAAAGGAATAGCCAGTGATGAAACTAATAGCCTGAACATACACTACAAGTCTTTCCTTACTTCAGATAATTTTTAAAAAATTAACTTTTAGCTCTTGAGACAAAATGGGAATGGTGCAAACTCCCATCCCAGAATTAAGTTCCTGGTACATAATATGGGAATGTTGCAGATTCCAGTTGCAGAACCGTGGTGTGCATGCAGTAACTGAGGATGAAAACGGTAATTCTACAGTAGATTTTCACAATTGCTGAGTAAACATATAAAAGTGTTGAAGTTCACTACCTTATTACCAAAGAACAAGAGACCGAAGGGCCTTAATGGTCAGCTAAGTTACAATGGGCCTTTTAACATGTCATAGAAATAGAACAGTAGGTAAGATTACATTTAACTGCATTGTACACGTATTGTAAGCTGTGCATAACATTAAAAGCTGTCCCATGCTTAGGCTTCTAACAAAGTTTAAATTAAAAGAAACAAGTACTTATTGTAACGGGACCATTAAAAATGTCCCCCAAACGACCCCTTCAGCAGTAAATGATCATAATAATCGAATCGGACAATATCTAAAATTTGGCCAAATTTTAACCACAGCTGACCGCTCAGATGACCGAATGAAAAATGGACTACAACATTTTGCTCCGAGTGCCACCTAATACATATATAGACCTACCAATTTTCACGAAAATCGCACAATATCTAAAATTTGGCCAAATTTTGACCACAGATGACCGATCGATGGCCGAATGAAAAACGGACTTCGCCATTTTGCTCCTAGTGCCACCTAATACATATAAACCAATTTTCACGAAAATTGGACAATATCTAAAATTTGGCCAAATTTTGACCACAGATGACCGCTCAGATGACCGATTGGAAAAATTTAAGTGGCCTGCACTCTGCCTCGCATGTATGAATATGTTTTTGAGAAATGCGTCGGAAACCTCACTGGCAGAAGAAAGTGGAAGAAATAAGAATAATATAAATAATAATGAAAATAATAATAATAATAAGAAATGGAGCAAACACAATATGTCCCCCCACTTTGCTTGGGGGACAAAATTACACTCAAATCTTTCATTTTCCTATATAAAATCTTCCATCCATGAACAGTAGAACATCTTTGTAATTTCAGCCAATTTGACCCATTTTTGGCCCCACCCATCAGCGCCTGGGGTTCAGCTAAGGTCAATATATGCATTTCATCAAACTGTCAGCTTATGCTAATAATGCTAACCAAATTTGAACTATTTCCAATAGAAAATAAACAAATTGTGAAATGTGAAATCCTGACGTCATGAAATTTACTATTTTGGTAAAGCATCTGAAGGCCTTTCCATCCATGAAGAAAATCTTATTCTATCATACCTGGGATATGAGAAGATTTCTGAAGTTTCAATCAAGTTGACCCTTTTTGGCCCCACCTCTCAGGCACCTAGAGGTTTGGGACCATGTCATCTGCAACATTGGTCCACGTTTAGCTGTGGAAGGTTTTTGTGAAATTTCAGTTTAGGAGTTTTCCACAAGTTGAAAATGTTGTAAGCTTAGTATGCATAATGCATGATGTGGAACAAAAGAGGATCACAATAGGTCACCCTGAGACTTTGTCTGAGGTGACCTTAAAAGATTGGTAGATGCATTGATAAGGATATCTAAAAGAAACAAAATGAGTAAGTACAATATATAGATTTTATTTATGTGTTTGTATATAAAATTTGATTTGATAGTACAATGTATAAATTTACAATAAAAAGTATACAGGAATGCAAAGGTGCTTGGATCACCGATATGTAGAAGATCACAGAAATAAAGTGTTCTAAATTACAGAGATTCCCATTGAATCTACAATGGTACAATATGTTTTAATAAATGATGGTATAATGATTTGGTAGAAAATGACCTTAAAATCTTTTTAAAGAATTTATCATACAATGTAAGAGAAGTATATGTTGGTAAAAAAAGGTAGATAACATTAAACCAAAGATATTGGAATGATTCTTAAAATATTGATCTGTACAGAACCACATTCGTTCGTTAGGAAAATCAGTATGTTAGCATTTTAAATGTAACATTTCAGACAATAAACTGAGAATGAGCTGTAGATATAACTAATGGTTGTTAAATTCTTTGTCGAGGCCTGTCAAAAGGCATATGATCAATAGGTCTGCCCTTATATCATAAATGAACAAACCTTGGTCCAACAGGTTAAAGCAATAAATGAAAGTGGCCCAGAACAAATTTTATACACATATCACAGGCATAGAAACTGTTACTATGACAAGTAGGCTCCCAAGTTCACAACACTTCGTAACCACTAGGACAATGAATGCCTTCAACTACCCCAGTAGTTGTGCAAATAAATATAAAACAACATTTTCACTACAGAATCAACGTACAACACAGTAAATGCTTAACAAATGAATACTTTGTACTTGTGTTATAGATCTCATGCTTACGACTAATCTGGTAAATGTTAATTATGATGTACCAAAGCCAGCACAATCTCCCCACCATATTTCACTACCTTTAAATTGCTCAACTCATAGTTCACCTTCATATACAGTAGAGGTGTGTAGTACTTTTTGTGTACCCCAGTTGAAAGGTAACCAACATCATAGAACAATACCAATATCAATAAATACTATTGTACTGAATGTGGGTAATATAATCAGCGAGATTTCTTCAACATAAACAATCAACTGTAACTTAATGTTTCTTTCATCATGTGCATGATTTCCTGAAATACTTGTAGGTAGAAATTCTGAAAACTGCCGATAGTATTCTGTGAGTGACGAATATTTTGTGACCCAATTTGGGTTTTAATTTTGTCTAAGTCATATGTTTTTTTCTGGTTCAACCATTTCATCCCTAACACTAAGCAACCAAAATCAAGATAACAACACAAATATAATTCACTCCAATGTAGGATCACAATTCTGATTCCAGTGAGTCATGTCAAAAGAAATCCATTCTCTTACATGTACAGATATCTATTTCAATGTTTGTACAAGTGGAACTTTAATTTTGGGAACTCCTACAAATGATCACCATCAATGAACATCCACATCACCCATTCAAACCAGCACTAAAATAAATACTTTACATATCTACAATTCTTGTATATATGGCATATATACAGAGGTGGCCTACGGATGCCTGGCTAAGACTTTTCTACAAGGTGAATTGGCTAAGCTTACAGTAATTGTATCTCTAAGCATACATGTATTTTATGGCTCGTGGAGGGTTGTCTTCCTATATCTGTTTTCAAATACACATACAGCACCAAATTTCATTTTAATGCGAAAGTGAGTTTCTTGTAATGGGGAGTTTCCTACTCCTATTTGAATATCATTCTAATGGAATTAAGAAAGGTATTGTTTTAATTAGTAAATAAAAGCCACTCATGTAAATAATACAGAAAGATCTTTACAGTTCTATTGACATAAACATGAAATCTTAATATCTCTCTCTTAGTTTTCTAAAACACATCTAGTGAACAGGCTGTACATTGATCTACAATAGTACCTGTATTAAATGAGCCATCGTGAATCACCCCTACAAGATCACACTAATACCAGTCCTAATACTGGACAACATCACAGGAGACTTAAGCCTTGAAATACAGGAAGTCAATTTAAAACTGTCCATCTTGGATCAGTAATTGAAGTACCAAGGGATTACTTCTGATAAATTAATGAATTGTTTGCAAACTTCTATAAAACCCTGCTCTCTCCTCTTTCATAAAATATCTATAATAAATTTTCAGGACATTGTGGAGAAATAACAGGTAATGGTTTAATACTGTTAACAGTCTTTCTCTGACATATAGCGTCTTTTGAATTCTTCCTCAGACAATGACATCGGGGGAGTTTGGCCCTTCTTTAGTTTTGATGGAGGAGTAATCGGACGCTTTGGACTTTCATGGATCCTGACTCTCTGATTCTTCTTCCTTGGTGTAGTGGACTTTCGTAGATTTCCAATATTTCTCTCGCGCTCAAAATTGTTCACCTGTAAAGTACAATATACAGAAATCTTCCATTTTACTGTCATAATAATTTCTGAAAACATTGATTAACACTTGTTTATGGCCGGTATAAACACATAAACAGGAAATGATAATTAATGAAACAGACGGTAATCATTTTGACAATAATTTCTTACTTTGTTTCCTCCAATGTTTGCCGATTTGATTTCTTCCTGCAAGGCTCTCATTGTCTCAGAGAGACGCAGATATCGATCCTCTATCCTAGCTTTCTCTTCTTGTACAGTCTGTAGAGAGAAACATCAGCAGACCATAACATTAATGTGTGGTGAAAAAATATCTGTTATATCTAGAAGTGTTCTATATTAATGTCTCTCCCAAAATGTCCTGCATTATGCCCTCTCTTTAAATGTTCTAAATTTATGTCCTCTCCCAAAATATTCTAAATTTATGTGTTTCAAAATGTTCTAAATTTAACTCTTTCAAATGCTCTACATTCATGCCTTCTTCCAAAATGTTCTAAAAGATGATGCGAGTTTTCCTGATATTTGAATGAGTGATGTTATCTAAAGACTCCACAATTTTCTCCACATTTCTGACTTAAGAAATCCTTTCTGACCAACGCATTTGGTATAAACTGACTGACAGTTACATAGAAGTCGAGATAGTTGCTGTGGTTGTGGTTCTTACCCTGAGTTCATGTAAATCTTCTATTATATGTTGTTTGTCTGATTCCTGAGCTCTTAAGATCTCTTCTTCTCGTATTTTTCTCAATTCTAATTCATCAGTCAAATCAAGAATGTGTTCCTAAAACAATGAAAATCACACATAGACATGAATGTACCCCAATATTACAATTTACACAAGATTGATAAAATATCCAATATTTCATCCATTATGCCACAGTTAACCAGTCCTCCTTTTGTCAATATGGCAAAAATAAAACAGTGGCAGAGTTTTGTTATTATTCTTTTTGGGCAAATTGAACACTTTTCATATTTTCATAGTAAAACGAAAAAAAAATAGTTGTATGGTTAACAGACTACAGTGTATTTTGCTTTTATGCTTGGTTGCCTAATTTTATATAAATTCTAACCTTCATCTGTGCACCTGTGTAAACACCTGGATTAATGTACAATCAAAAATTACAAAAGGGCTAATTAACACAAATACAGCTGACCAATCACACTCAATCATTCAGACCAAGACCAGGTATATTTGACACAAACTCAGTATTTGACTCAACAGTGTTCAAATCATCAGTTTTTAATTCACTAAGATGTGAAAAATCAGGACCATACAAAACATTTGACTTGTTCGATGTATTTGATTCAAGCGTGTTAGACACAAGTGAGTTTTACAATATAGTTTTAGATAAAAGTGTGATACAAACTTAAAATCTCGTAGGATAATATCCACAAGGTCTTGCTCTGTTTATAAAATGAAGAAAATCTCTGAATCCCAAAATAACAAAGAGAATGTTATGTTGTACCTGTAATTTCTCCACGGCTTGAACATTATCCAGCTCTCTATAGGCCAATTCTGCAAGAAAAACAAACAACACATGATGTGTAGCCAGACAGATCAATCCCAATTTAGATAAATTTTAGAGTAAAAAGTGAAAAATTATAAAAGAAAAAATTTCATTACATAAGGAATTTCTGTGATTTGGATGTAATTCTCTAGCTTGATGTTAACATGCCTGTAATGTGTCTCACTCTCCAATATTAATGAGATATCTAAATATCTACAGAAATGTACTCAATCTCAAATTTAACTTTGTAAAACATATTATAGAGAGAAAATGATTACAAAATGTCTCAAACTTTAACAACCTTATTGAAGGCCATTGACTATTACTAATTCTATATATCACTGATTCAATCATTTCTGTTCTACATCATACATAAAGTATAATATTCTCCAAAGATTTCCATATATCACAAAGAAAACTTTATAATGGAAATAAAAATGTCTTTGTGCAAGCAAGTTTTAAGCTTTGAACAAATGCTATGAGCTATGTACTGAAGCTCCTGGTGAACAATGACTGTACTGAAGCTCCTGGTGTACAGTGACTGTTCTACTGAAGTTCCTGGTGTACAGAAACTGTACTGAAGCTATTGGTGTACAGTGACTGTACTAAAGCTATTGGTGTACAGTGACTGTACTGAAGCTCCTGGTGTACAGTGACTGTACTGAAGCACCTGGTGAACAGTGACTGTACTGAAGCTCCTGCTGTACAGTGACTGAACAGAAATTCCTGATGTACAGTGACTGTACTACTGAAGCTCCTGGTGTACAGTGACTGTACTGAAGCTATTGGTGTACAGTGACTATACTACTGAAGCTCCTGGTGTACAGTGACTGTACTGAAGCTCCTGGTGAACAGTGACTGTACTGAAGCTCCTGCTGTACAGTGACTGAACAGAAATTCCTGATGTACAGTGACTGTACTACTGAAGCTCCTGGTGTACAGTGACTGTACTGAAGTTCCTGGTGAACAGTGACTGTACTACTGAAGCTCCTGGTGAACAGTGACTGTACTGAAGCTATCACTGTATAGTAATTACCTTTCACCATGTACAGATGACCGACTTTATCAGACAACAACAGACAACACCAGACAACACACAAGCTCTGTCATTATACATGCATTTTCATGCAACAAAATGATAGCTAGCTAACTAACAAGACAGCACATCCAGTAAACAGTTCAAAAGACAGTGAAATGAAGCATTTTTCATCCATAATGTTCCAGAATGTTGCTGACAATGTTTGCATCAATAATCCTAGATCATAGACTCTTCATTCCTGATATATTCAAACACTAAAAGTAGAATTAATGAAATTGATCTGTGTGCAGGGAGGGTTAGCAAGACATGCATAAACTGTAGAAATTGAACAGCTTCGTCCTGGGTGTTTAGCATCTAAATTTACAATTGACAGTAAGGTAATGATTCACTGAAGCCCTGAATTGATTAAAGGTAGAAATTGTCCTGGTTGTGTGTTTTGTAAGTCTTGGACACCTCATTACGACACAGACACTGCAGCACCCTTAGTTTGTTAATGGCTATCTAAGTGGTTGTACTTCAGACTGTTACCAGTTCTGTTCAAATCTTTATACACCTGGACTGTGTTTTAAAACAGAATCAGTATCTAATCATGTGTATAAAAGGATTTACAGAGCAAGTCAACGTAACAGACCTCTGATATACCACACCTCTTAAAAAACCAAAAGAATTAGTGTCAACAGACAACACTCTTCCCCAATTTCTAACATGAAGTTCACAAGGAGAATTTAATGCAAGGACAACAGAATGAAACTGCACACGATGATAACAGTACCAGGTATCAGCTTGCCAAGGTATGGCATTTTTAGAATCCTCCCTGTAAAGTGGGCAGCAACATTAAATATACAATAAATCACTCATTGTCAGGTCCATAGGTAAAAATGTGAACCTTAGTCATGCAGTATTAACCTATTCAAAAGATACTTTTTCATGTTTTTTATTTTTTCATTTTGCTCCATGATGAATTTCTTTTAAAACACTTCCTGTCAAATGAAAAATGGTCAAATGTGAGATTAGCCTACAAGTAAATTGAGTGCACATCCGGTACTAAAGAGGCGATGTGGTGATACCATTTCAAATGTATAGTAGTGGAGAATGGCTACCAGCAGATAGAAGATGAGGACAATATACAATGATCAGCCACTTATGATATCTGAAACTCTTGTCAATATAATGGAATGAGATGATACATATTCTACAGGGATCTGTACTACTGGGAGGATCTACTGACAACAGAGAAAAAGCATCCTATACCTTGCTTGGCAGTGGACAATTCATCAAGCACATCTTCTTTTTTGGCTAGTTCTGCAAGGAGGAATTGGCGATCACTGTCATTACAAGTAAGGGCTTCTCGTAAATCCTTTCGCAACTTCTGTTCATACTTGATCCTGTCCCTCAACTCTCGTCGCAGCCATTTCATCTTAGTCTTGATGTCAGCTGTGGTGGCTGTAGGACCATTAGGTGCTCCCTTTACAGCATTCACCGTCTGACACTTCTCCATGGATCCTGTAGCTACTAGTTCCATTAGTGTATCAACTTCTGATACCATATCATACACCAGGCCCTACAACAGTATATACATATACAGAGATAATGTACAGCTGGTTATCGTACACCAGGCCCTACAACAGTATATATATACAGAGATAATGTACAGCTGGTTATCATACACCAGGCCCTACAACAGTATATATATACAGTGATAATGTAGAGCTGGTTATCATACACCAGGCCCTACAACAGTATATATATATACAGAGATAATGTAGAGCTGGTTATCATACACCAGGCCCTACAACAGTATATATATACAGTGATAATGTAGAGCTAATTATCATACACCAGACCCTACAACAGTATATATATACAGTGATAATGTAGAGCTGGTTATCATACACCAGGCCCTACAACAGTATAAATATATAAAATGAGATAATGTACAGCTGTTTATCATACACCAGGCCCTACCACAGCATATATATTATTATAAACAGAGATAAGATACAACTGGTTATCATACACAAAACCCTATTATCATACACCAGGCCCTGATACAACAGTGATAATGTAGAGTTGGTTTTCATATACCAGGCCCTACAACAGTATCTATAACGGTAATGATGTAAAGTGGTTATCATACACCATACACCAGAGGTAGTTATCATACAGCAAGCCAAGGCCCTACAACAGTACATATTTGGTAGTTGCCAATACTAGGTCCAACAACAGTATATACAGTATTTTGAATATCAAGTACTTAGAAACTGATATTTAACAGTAAAGATTACAAATCTGTTCATATTCAGTAATTTACATATATTGATACTTACATCATGCTCTGTCCTTGACTTCTTCAACTCATTTTTAAGTGCAAATAGTTCATCTTCATATTTCTTAACCCTAGAGAATTAACAAAAGACATTGTTACTTTAATACAATATATTCAAAATAAAACATTCAAAATAAAATCAAAGTGAATTACTTGATTTGGAAACAAGATCGAATAAACATAGATAAGATTTACCAATATATACTATGGAGAATACCAATCCTGTATGATTTACCAATATATACTATGGAGAATACCAATCCTGTATGATTTACCAGTATACATTATGGAGAATACCAATCTTGTATGATTTACCAGTATACACTATGGAGAATACCAATCCTGTATGATTTACCTGTGTACACTCCTCAGAATACCAATCCTGTATGATTTACCAGTATACATTATGGAGAATACCAATCTTGTATGATTTACCAGTATACACTATGGAGAATACCAATCCTGTATGATTTACCTGTGTACACTCCTCAGAATACCAATCCTGTATGATTTACCAGTAAACACTATGGAGAATACCAATCCTGTATGATTTACCAATTTACACTATGGAGAATACCAATCTTGTATGATTTACCAGTATTTACTATGGAGAATACCAATCCTGTATGATTTACAAGTATACGCTATGGAGAATACCAATCCTGTATGATTTACCAGTATACACTATGGAGAATACCAATCTTGTATGATTTACCAGTATTTACTATGGAGAATACCAATCCTGTATGATTTACAAGTATACGCTATGGAGAATACCAATCCTGTATGATTTACCAGTATACACTATGGAGAATACCAATCTTGTATGATTTACCAGTATTTACTATGGAGAATACCAATCCTGTATGATTTACAAGTATACACTATGGAGAATATCAATCCTGTATGATTTACCAGTATACACTCCTCAGAATACCAAATCCAATATGATTTGATGCCTGTTGGTTACTTGACAGAAATGCATTTTTCCTTGTTCTTTCACTCAAATCCTGCATGCTGATATCCTGCTTTATTTTGAGTTACACGTACATACTATGACCACTACAATAATAACTAATGATTACTTACCTTGACATATCACTCTCCGCCATCTGAGTCTGAAACAAACAAGTAATCTATATATTTCTCAAACAAACATTACTGTTTAACATCAAACACATGAAGTTTTCAAGAATCACTTATAAAATCATGGATGACACTGTCACAATTAAAGGCTATACCTTAATGTCAGGACATTTCTTTCCATAAAGGATAAGAAGAAAATATCAAAGTCTAATCCACAGGTATGATTTTGATCACTAATTGATACAAAGATATTTATAAATTAGAGATCATGAACATTATATAGATATCTGTAGCTGTATAATTATCATTTGTCGTAGTTACAAAAGACAAAATTCTGCTAGGTGCTGCTTTATGGTGGACAGAATTGTGCAAGTTTTATACAAGAAATGTTTACACAGATATACACCATAGTTACAGTGCTAAAAAACATCCCCCTAAAAATTAAACATATCCAAATGTTGAACTACCAAAACCTGAGGTTTCTAAACATCTGTGATATATAGTTACGTTACAGTGTACTGGACAAGACAGGCTAGTACTAATTTATCACTTTTGTCACAGTCTATACTATCAGCCTATAACGACAGACCTCCATCTAATTATTGTCACAGTCTACACTATTAGCCTCCTAACTCTTCTCAAAATCTACATGATCAGCCTATGGCGAAAGCACTCTACCAAACTCTTCTCAAAGTCTACACTATCAACTCCAAGTGACAGATCTGATCTCCTGACTCTTGTAACAGTCCACACTATAAGTGCCCAGTGACAGATCTCCTTACTCTTGTCACAGTCTACACTACCAGCCCCAGTGACAGATCTCCTTACTCTAGTCACAGTCCACACTCTCAGCCCCCAGTGACAGATCTCCCTACTCTTGTCACAGTCCACACTACCAGCCCCCTGTGATAGATCTCCTTACTCTTGTCACAGTCCACACTATCAGCCCTCAGTGACAGATCTCCTTACTCTTGTCACAGTCCACACTATCAGCCCCCAGTGACAGATATCCTTACTCTTGTCACAGTCGACACTATCAGCCCCCAGTGACAGATCTCCTTACTCTTGTCACAGTCCACACTATCAGCCCCCAGTGACAGATATCCTTACTCTTGTCACAGTCCACACTATCAGTCCCGAGTGACAGATCTTCCTACTCTTGTCACAGTCCACACTATCAGTCCCCAGTGACAGATATCCCTCCTCTTGTCACAGTCCACACTATCAGTCCCGAATGACAGATCTCCTTACTCTACACTATCACTCTCTATTGGCCACACATCTAACTACAAATTTCTCCCAGTGATAAATATAGATACTTTTCTTATATACCTCAATGTGTAGTAGAGTTTGTACATCTTTCACTGATCACATGGACTGGGTGTAAACTAATATCAGGAAACTTTAAAGCACAAATCCGTGATTTCTCAGCTCACTGGCAGTAACCACTACACAAACTTTTTTACAGCTTAGTTTCCAGAATAACATTTAGACGAAAAATAATAAAATTGGAGAAACATTAATCCTATAATTCTTTTGGTCTTAGAAGCCTTTGAAAAATTTACCATTAAAACTGAGTTCTGACTGTTTTAAACTAAAATCAGTGTTTTGATGAAAAAAAAAGGAAAAAAGTTGAAAATTGAAAAAAGAATAAAAAGAAAAAAAAAATCAGTAGAGTAAAATAAACCCTTGACCTCTAATGATTTTAGATGCTTAATAGATGGGGTTTAAATGTATACTTAAATTTAATTAAATTATTTAGGGTCGAACACTGACACTGACTGGTAACTAGTGAGATATAAAAATAGGCCACACAGTACACTAATCATTCTACAGACAGCAAAACTACATGTAGAAATCACTTATAAAACATACTCCCATGGGTTTTATCATATATATCTGTACTATGTTTCTGAAGACACAGACCTTTTTATATCAAAGTATTAATCAAAACAATAACTTAGATGCACTGATAACAAAATAAAAGGTGATAAATTATTTTCTACATCAGATGATCACTGATCATGCTGTGTTTGTAATTAACATATCTATCTACATCAGATGATCATTAATAGTAATGTATTTGTGATAAATGTATTTATCTAAGTCAGATGATCATTGATTGTATTTTATTTGTGATAAATGTATTTATCTAAGTCAGATGATCATTGATTGTATTTTATTTGTGATAAATGTATTTATCTAAGTCAGATGATCATTGATTGTATTTTATTTGTGATAAATGTATTTATCTAAGTCAGATGATCATTGATTGTATTTTATTTGTGATAAATGTATTTATCTAAGTCAGATGATCATTGATTGTATTTTATTTGTGATAAATGTATTTATCTAAGTCAGATGATCATTGATTGTATTTCATTTGTGATAAATGTATTTATCTTAATCAGATGATCATTGATTGTATTTCATTTGTGATAAATGTATTTATCTTAATCAGATGATCATTAATAATGATCTATTTGTGATAAATGTATTTATCTTAATCAGATAATCATTGATAATATTTTATTTGTAATTAATTTATTTATCTTAATCAGATGATCATTGATTGTATTTTATTTGTAATTAATTTATTTATCTTAATCAGATGATCATTGATTGTATTTTATTTGTGATAAATGTATTTATCTTAATCAGATGATCATTAATAATGATCTATTTGTGATAAATGTATTTATCTTAATCAGATAATCATTGATAATATTTTATTTGTAATTAATTTATTTATCTTAATCAGATGATCATTGATTGTATTTTATTTGTAATTAATTTATTTATCTTAATCAGATGATCATTGATTGTATTTTATTTGTGATAAATGTATTTATCTTAATCAGATGATCATTAATAATGATCTATTTGTGATAAATGTATTTATCTTAATCAGATAATCATTGATAATATTTTATTTGTAATTAATGTATTTATCTAAGTCAGATGATCATTGATTGTATTTTATTTGTGATTAATGTATTTATTTAAGTCAGATGATCACACATATTGCTGTTTTTGTAATTGAAATATTTATCTACAATAGATGATCACTGATCATTCTGTATTTGAACCTAAATTTTTAATATATATGTCTCATATTCTAGGAACTGCAAAGGGATTCTATTTGATTGTGGTATGAAACAAAGGAAATTATTCCTATTATTTAAAGTAGGTTCATATAAGTCTCATCCTTTATTTTACTACCTCTGAAAACCTTATCACATCAGTACCTCAGTGCCCTGTATACACCGTTGTATTTATATATTAGTCTGACTGTTCAGTACAGATCAGATGAATTCTAATTATCTCAGCACACAATAATCACACTACATCTAGTTTTCCATTTCTGTTCTCTTTTTTTTGAGGCAAGTAAACTAGGATATTTGCAATCCATATAACTGCTGTGCTACACAGTACTACCACAAATGAATGTGTCCAGTCTATGACAGAAATGTGATATTACGGAAGAGAAAGTCACAGAACCAACACTACCAAGCCACCACACAAAATTAGCTGTCTAACAAACACATACAACAGGGCCAAAGTGTTTCAAACTCAGCTGTTTCATCAAACGTGAACATGCAGCTTTACGCTTCCCGCTGACCTTGGCAGCAAACTACAAGTTACAGGACATAATGTTAAGTACCAGATTTTTCTGTCCACAACCTTCCAACCATACTCTACATTTCTTGACTGAGGACAATGAAATCTGACATTGCTGAAGGTTGTGGAGTCCAAGGGTAAATAATCATATAAGACAAAGGATTATAGAACATCTTAAGTAGCTCACACTGACTCAAGGGAATGTTTAGTATTTAAATTTACAACATATTTACACACAGACAATTGTCTACTGAGTAGCTCACACTGATTCAACATAATATTTAGTATTTAAAATTTACAACATATTTACACAGAGAGAATTGAATTGTCAAATGAGTAACTCGCACTGACTCAACAGAACATATTTGCGCACAGAGAATAGTTAAGTAAGATATTCCCCTAGACCATACACTTATATCCACCTAACATTCAATAAGTTTGTATATGCATTCAAATAGTGTCCAAATCTCTACAATATGAAAACAAACACTGTATATTACTAGTTTACATTTGCTCTGTTTTGTATGGTTTTGTAACCAAAGGAAGAAAGAGAAAGATAACACAATACATTTGATCAGTAATGACAATGTAACTTTGGAAGAGAACATTTCATTTAAAACTTTTCGAAAAGAAAAGATTGACATTCTCCATGAACTATTATCAATGAAGGCTATTTTATTTAAAAGAGTTGCACAACTGAAAGTCATGTTTGTTGTAACTAAAACCAGTCAATTGTTGGAGGGTTAATTATGTCATGTTTGTGGCATCAAAACTGACAGAAGAATTAGGAAGGTATGACAATGTAATGTGTCATTTTTGTGCTACCAGAACTGACAGCAAAGCTACAAAGGTATGACAATGCAATGCAATGTTTGTGGTATAAAAACTAATGAGGATTCTGGTGATTAACAATTTAAAGATATATGGATCAAAGTTTAAAGTAGTGATAGAGAGAATCACGAACACCAGGAGGAATTCCACAGAACATATCAAACTTAAAGTTTACAGTAGTGATAAAGAGAATCACAAACAACAGGAGGAATTTCACAGAACATATCAAACTTAAAGTTTACAGTAGTGATAAAGAGAATCACAAACAACAGGAGGAATTTCACAGACTACATCTAACCTTAAAATCTAAAGTAGTGATAAAGAGAATCACAAACACCAGGAGGAATTTCACAGACCATATCTACCTTAAAGTTTAAAGTAGTGATAAAGAGAATCACAAACACCTGATAGAATTTCACAAGACTATATCTAACCTTAATGTTTAAAGTAGTGATAAAAAGAATCACAAACACCTGATAGAATTTCACAGACTATATCTAACCTTAATGTTTAAAGTAGTGATAAAGAGAATCACAAACACCTGATAGAATTTCACAGACTATATCTAACCTTAATGTTTAAAGTAGTGATAAAGAGAATCACTAACACCTGATAGAATTTCACAGACCATATCTACCTTAAAGTTTAAAGAAGTGATAAAGAGAATCACTAACACCTGATAGAATTACACAGACTAATTTTTAACCTTAATGTTTAAAGTAGTGATAAAGAGAATCACTAACACCTGATAGAATTTCACAGACTATATCTAACCTTAATGTTTAAAGAAGTGATAAAGAGAATCACTAACACCTGATAGAATTACACAGACTATATCTAACCTTAATGTTTAAAGTAGTGATAAAGAGAATCACTAACACCTAATAGAATTTCACAGACTATATCTAACCTTAATGTTTAAAGAAGTGATTAAGAGAATCACAAACACCTGATAGAATTTCACAGACTATATCTAACCTTAATGTTTAAAGTAGTGATAAAGAGAATCACAAACACCAGGAGGAATTTCACAGACCATATCTACCTTAAAGTTTAAAGAAGTGATAAAGAGAATCACTAACACCTGATAGAATTACACAGACTATTTTTTAACCTTAATGTTTAAAGTAGTGATAAAGAGAATCACTAACACCTGATAGAATTTCACAGACTATATCTAACCTTAATGTTTAAAGAAGTGATAAAGAGAATCACAAACACCTGATAGAATTACACAGACTATATCTAACCTTAATGTTTAAAGTAGTGATAAAGAGAATCACTAACACCTAATAGAATTTCACAGACTATATCTAACCTTAATGTTTAAAGAAGTGATAAAGAGAATCACAAACACCTGATAGAATTTCACAGACCTTATCTAACCTAAATGTTTAACTTGCATACCTGGGTCTGAAATTCTTGATGAGCATGCTCCAACCTCCGTAAAATGTTGGTGTTTTCCTCTTCCAACCTATAAACACAGTTATGTATGAAAATAACAAGAAGAATTACATGTAAAATAATAAACCAGGAAATATCAATAAGGTATGAATGTCCTCACTCCTTTTCTTATCAGTAATATAAACCAAATCTCTGAGAGGTTCTCAAGATGTGACAATGATCTGAAACAAGATGCTACAGGATGGATGGGTAACACTAAATGTCCCCATATGAAATGGTACAGATGTAATTAACTAGAGCAATACAAATGTTAAGAGATTTACCTCAAAGTTTTTATTGACGTAAAACATTCAAATTAGGAAAAAGGATGGAGACAAGCTGCTAGCTATGTGTTGGAAGTTACCTTTCTACTTCATGGGTGAGTCTCTCTGCCTCCTGACGAAGTTTCTCTTCATTACGTTTGGAGATTTTGGATGAGGACTTCTCTTCCCCTAGTTCCATCTAAGTACATACAGAGAACTTGAGTAGTAATTTAGTTTTTAAGGAGTCATATACATTTTTTTTGACTCACTACTACATAATAGTCAGTTTCTTGAACAATATTTCAATTGTACATGGAATAATTCCTCTTAATGCCTGAAATTTCAAAACTGTCCATATTTATATCCTCATTTACTACTCTATCAGTATAACATTTCTCCTCGTGTAATATACACTGGTGTACAGGTCTCATTAATCACAAACCTTCAGGGCTTGTATAGTTGCCTCATATTCTGCATGTCCTCTCTTCATCTTTCGCTGAATGTCTTGCATCACATGAGCTTCTCGTACCTGGTCAAACATAAAATACATCTCCTTGACATCAGCGACATTACGTGTACCTCTACAGTATAATGTTCTTACACTGACATCACTGACATTAAGTGTACCTCTACAGTATAATGTTCTTATACTGACATCAGTGACACTAAGTGTACCTCTACAGTACAATGTTCTTAGCTTCACATCACTGACATATTATGTGTACCTCTACAGTATAATGTTCTTATACTGACATCACTGACACTAAGTGTACCTCTACAGTATAATGTTCTTATACTGACATCAGTGACACTAAGTGTACCTCTACAGTACAATGTTCTTATACTGACATCGGTGACACTAAGTGTACCTCTACAGTATAATGTTCTTATACTGACATCACTGACACTAAGTGTACCTCTAGAGTATAATGTTCTTATACTGACATCAGTGACACTAAGTGTACCTCTACAGTATAATGTTCTTATACTGACATCAGTGACACTAAGTGTACCTCTACAGTATAATGTTCTTATACTGACATCAGTGACACTAAGTGTACCTCTACAGTATAATGTTCTTATACTGACATCAGTGACACTAAGTGTACCTCTACAGTATAATGTTCGTACACTGACATCACTGACACTAAGTGTACCTCTACAGTATAATGTTCTTATACTGACATCAGTGACACTAAGTGTAGTTCTACAGTACAATGTTCTTATACTGACATCAGTGACACTAAGTGTACCTCTACAGTACAATGTTCTTATACTGACATCACTGACACTAAGTGTACCTCTACAGTAAAATGTTCTTATACTGACATCACTGACATTATGTGTACCTCTACAGTACAATGTTCTTAGCTTGACATCACTGACACTAAGTGTACCTCTACAGTACAATGTTCTTAGCTTGACATCACTGACATTATGTGTACCTCTACAGTATAATGTTCTTATACTGACATCAGTGACACTAAGTGTACCTCTACAGTACATTGTTCTTACACTGACATCACTGACATTATGTGTACCTCTACAGTATAATGTTCTTATACTGACATCAGTGACACTAAGTGTACCTCTACAGTATAATGTTCTTATACTGACATCAGTGACACTAAGTGTACCTCTACAGTATAATGTTCTTATACTGACATCAGTGACACTAAGTGTACCTCTACAGTATAATGTTCGTACACTGACATCACTGACACTAAGTGTACCTCTACAGTATAATGTTCTTATACTGACATCAGTGACACTAAGTGTACCTCTACAGTACAATGTTCTTATACTGACATCAGTGACACTAAGTGTACCTCTACAGTACAATGTTCTTATACTGACATCACTGACACTAAGTGTACCTCTACAGTAAAATGTTCTTATACTGACATCACTGACATTATGTGTACCTCTACAGTACAATGTTCTTACACTGACATCACTGACATTATGTGTACCTCTACAGTATAATGTTCTTATACTGACATCAGTGACACTAAGTGTACCTCTACAGTATAATGTTCTTACACTGACATCACTGACATTAAGTGTACCTCTACAGTATAATGTTCTTATACTGACATCAGTGACACTAAGTGTACCTCTACAGTACAATGTTCTTACACTGACATCACTGACATTATGTGTACCTCTACAGTACAATGTTCTTACACTGACATCACTGACATTATGTGTACCTCTACAGTACATAATCTTTCTTACCTTGACCTCATTAAGTTCTTGTTTGATATTTTCTACAGTATTGTGGTGTGATTCTCGTTCCTGAAATGTAACAAACGTCAAATGAATGATGGTTTTCTACAGCGTAACATTAAAAATGTTATTGTGATAAATTGATGGTTTTAACAACAAATCATTTGCAAAAACATTTGATACTCATAAAGGAATATAATAGTCAGATTGAGATAAAGTCTCAATTTACAGTTATATAGTGTAGTATAAAATATAGGTAGCTTACCTCTGCTAGTTGTCTCTGGTAGATCTTCACTTCCTCTCGTGCAGCTTTCTCTCGATGTTGTAGTTCAACAAAGTTGTGTCGCAGGTCCTAGAAGGAAATATTAACAGTAAACAGACAGGGACACTGCTTCTCTTACAGCTGAAAATTGGACATTTTCCATGAAGACATTCAGGCAAGAGCACTAACATATTCTTGGAACCAAATATATCAAACGACTGCAGACTTTCAAAAACAAGAATCAACATTTAATTTGATATAACCTTTAAGTAATATTAGTTTATCACCAGCAGTCTTTTTAACATGGAACTGTCAGATTATATTTCCTGTAGTTGGTAAACACTACATCCACAAGTAATGTACCAATAGGCAGTTTGAGAAAGCCGAAGGGTGGAATGGACCTTGTCTGCCTTATTGCTTTGTTACAATACTTACATGGATTTTGCCATTGGCCAGGGACAACTGTGAGGCAAACTCTGCCTTGACTGAGCTTAATTCTTTAAGTTCTTGCTGAAAGCAGAAAAACACATAAGATAGACATCAAAAGTCTTAAACAGTATCAAGAAATTGAAGAATTCTTACCAAAATAGTAAAGGCAATATAATGTGTTTACAATGATGCATGTTGTGTGTCCACTGTTCCAGTTGAGGTACATGATATCATTTCCTTCTGATCTATAAATCTGTTTATCTCCCTGTATATTGTCCATTGTTTCCTCTCCAGGGTCACATGTATCTCTTTGTTATTGTTGGTCAATCAGTATGTGTATATTCAGCCAACAACAAGCTGATAAAAAACATTGTAACTACAGCTGATGTGATCAACAGCCCACCTGAGACAAAATCTACAAAACAACTACAATGTTCCAACAAAGTTGTCTGCTGTAGAGAAGAAACAGTGTTTATGATGATGTTGCAAAGATACCCTTTATCCACTTGTAGTTGATTACCCTGGTGTAAACATCCATCCATTATAACAAGATATATATGAAGTTGTCTCCCTTTATATAATAGCTGATGTCTATCCACTTGTAGTTGATTACCCTGGTATAAACATACATCTACAGTTATATCCCCTTGTGCACAAGCTGATCGCCTCTACCCACCTGTGGTTGATTACCTGGTATATACTTGTAGTTGTCTCCCCTTATGTACAAGCTGATAAACCTTTATTCACTTGTAGTTGATTACCCTGGTATAGACACAGATCTATAGTTATCTCTCCTTGTATACCAGCTGATAAACCTCTATCCACCTGAAGTTGATTACCCTAGTATCGTACAATATGTAGTTATCTCCCCTTGTGTAGAAGCTGATTAAGCTATACCCACCTGTAGTTGATTGGCTTGGTCCTGAGAGAGAAGATGTGCTGCCTCTACAGATGAAAGTTTTTCCTCTAGCCTGTTTTTCTCCTCAGATAGAGTTGTTGACCGTGTCTGGACAGTGTTAAGTTCATTCTCCATCTGCAATGTACAGATCACTGTTCTCTCAGAAATGTGACACATTTATTTGTTAAATGAATATAACATGGCTGTCAACAGACTTATCCTATCTAAAGCAAGAGAGTCATTGAGTTCATGGTTCAGGTCAATATACTAGACTTACCCTATCACAAACACTACGAGAATCTCGAAGCTCACGGTCCAGATCCATGCGAACAGACTTGAGTTCATTAATCTCCACATCTTTCAGACGAATCTGTTCATCCTGGGCTGCTCTCACCGCCTATTATATAAAGTCTATCATTTAAACAACTGACTGGTGAATGTAAACACAACACACAACTAACATCAATTCATTATTTCTGAAACACTTTTTTTTGTATTTTTCTGTATTGGTTACCAGAAATAAGTTACTGACCAGGGCATCTCCCAGCTCCCTTTTAAGGTTGTCCATCTGTACTCCTTGGTGGTGTAATTGGTGTCTCATTCCCTCCAGTTCCTTTACCAGCTGTTCGTTCCTTTGCATCAATGTGTTGCCTCCATGTTTGTGACGGTCCACCTCTCTCTCAAGCTGCTTTGTCTTCATCTTCCACCTGTGAACAGATCATGTTGAAGTCAATCATCGTAAGGACAGTGAATATATACGGACAATTTTGATACAGGAACTCTGGTGACACAATGACGATGTAAAGTTAGATAACCTACTGTCTGACAGTTTCCTGTGCACGTCCCTTAAACTCATCCCTCTTCCTCTCTGCTTCTGACAAAGAGCCCTGAGTACTCCGTAGCTCAGTGGCGGTTTTCTCAAGCTCTTTGCTGCACTCCTTGAGACGTCCCATAGTGTCCTCATACTGGGCCATCAGCTGACCTTTGTGGCGATCTGCCTCCTCAAACTTATCTGATGTCTCCTTCAGCTGAGTGATAAGTTTGGCAGTCTGTTTCTCTCTGTTCTCTAGGTCTCTTGTCAGTGTCTATAATGTAGACCATAACACTTTGTAATATCATAAATCTTATTAGAGAAATGGATAAGCGAAATTCTACATTTACCTAATGGAAGAAACCAGACGAGTGAAATTGCACCTCTACCTAACAGGCAAGATGGATGTTTGGAACACTACCTCTATCTGAACTGTCTGATAGCTTGGCTATATGTTCAAACAATTGAGATACAAATAAATCCCACTTCTATATGCTCAGACAGTTAAGATACAGGTAAATCCTACCTCTATATGATCAGACAGTTGAGCGTCAGGTAAATCCTACATCTATATGGTCAGACAGTTGAGATTTACGTAAATCCTACATCTATATGTGTTTAAACAATTGAGCTATAGGTACACCCTACCTCTACATATTCAGACAGTTGAGAAACAGGTAAATCCTATATCTATATGATCAGACAGTTGATATACAGGTTAATCCTACATCTATATATTTAGACAGTTGAGCTTTACGTGAATTCTACAGCTATATGATCAGACAGTTAATATAAACATTTTATAGGTAAATCCTACATCTATATACGTTTAGACAATAGAGCGACAGGTACACCCTACCTCTATATGATCAGACAATTGGGCTCGTTGTCGTTCACTTCGGTCAATCCCTCTGCGTAACTCATCCATCTCACTATGAGCACCCATGGACCTGGCTAACTGACTACGAAGGTCCACCACTTCCTTTTCCAGGGACCTCCGCACACGGTCTCTTTCTTCATCCACTGAAGTATTAGACATAAATATCAGACAAAAGGTAATGTTAATTTGTTAAATTACCTTGTAGAGAATAACTTTCAGCTCTGAATCATAATTTATCAAGTATATTACAAATATAAACTCAGAACTTATGTAGCTAATTAAAAATATGACAAAATCATTCATCTTTAACTTTGGACTAAAAGAATTGCAATATGAATTCCTTACGATAGATACTAAAGTTTCAAAATCAAGAATTGAACAAAATAAGGTAATCAAAAAGTATCAGCCTGCCACACTTACAGGATTGTTTTTTGCGGCGTTCTCGGACTTCCTCCTCATAGCGACTCTCCTCTAAGTGGTTCTTCATTCGGGTACGTTCCTGCTCCATACGATTCAGCTGTGCACGAAGGTCACCAACCTGTTGCTCTAGTGCTGCTTTTCCTCCGGCAGTCTGGTCCAACTTTCGTTTAACAGCATCTAATTCTGATTCAATCTGCATAAAAGTATACAAGTAGGCACATACTGTAAAACAGCTAATACACACACAAAATCTCAAAGCATGAAACACTGTTATCTTTTCCACAAACAATAAAGGAATTGGAAATTCAAAAATTTTACTTTTGCTTATAGAGATTGTAAAAGTATTATCAGAAGAAGCTCGTATTACTATACTGCGTCATGACTGGGGTATGAGTCATTCCAACTTACACAACTAGGTTCTTACCCTGTTTTTCTGGGACTCTGCTTGGATATACTGAGCTTGCAGTCGTTCATCCATGGCTGACCGTTGGGGCTGCGTCAGCATGTGCTGGTGTGTATTCAGTGCCTGTAATATTATAATATATTATAAAGTCAGCGATTCTAGTTTTTAACAAAGTCACACAGAACTCTGTAAATAATGTACCAAAGCCAGGGGATTCTGGTCTTTATGACAGTAACACAGAACTCTGTAAATACTGTACCAAAGTCAGGGAATCCTGGTCTTTACCAAAGTAACACAGTGCTCTGTAAATACTGTACCAAAGCCAGGGGATTCAGGTCTTTACCATAGTAACACAGAGCTCTGTAAATATTGTACCAAAGTCAGGGATTCTGGTTTTTACCATAGTAACACAGAACTCTGTAAATATTGTACCAAAGTCAGGGGATTCTGGTTTTTACCAAAGTAACACAGTGCTCTGTAAATACTGTACCAAAGCCAGGGGATTCTGGTCTTTACGACAGTAACACAGAACTCTGTAAATACTGTACCAAAGCCAGGGGATTCTGGTCTTTACGACAGTAACACAGAACTCTGTAAATACTGTACCAAAGTCAGGGGATTCTGGTCTTTACCATAGTAACACAGAACTCTGTAAATATTGTACCAAAGCCAGGGGATTCCAGTTTCTACCATAGTAACACAGAACTCTGTAAATACTGTACCAAAGTCAGGGGATTCTGGTCTTTACCACAGTAACATAGAACTCTGTAAATACTGTACCAAAGTCAGGGGATTCTGGTCTTTACAACAGTAACACAAACAACAAAGGTAGGGCAGACCCATATTTTAGTTGTATTACTACAAAACAAAATAGATACATTGACTTTAAACAATTAAATGCTATGTATTGTTATAAAAGCAACACAAAAAAATGACAACTCTTACTTAAACCAAACTGAATCGCAGCATTGACAGAAATTCTGATATCTGAATTCTCAAATAACAGTGACATTTCTTCAATATTTTATTGTGTTAGAGTATTAATATAAAAGGCTAATCTATCAAGAAAGAAACGAAAAAAACAAACTAAATAGTTAAAGTCATGCACAATCAATGTTTTCAATGTTTGTATCGTTTGAGTTTTTTCTACTACATCATATAGTGTATAGGAAGGATACCCACATTCTATATTTATTAAGATTTTTATTTTTAAAAATACTGAACAAAACAACTACCAAAAATATGCCTTTTTTCAATCATAGTTAATGTTTCTTTGAAGAAAAAGAGTGAAAACAATTAATTTGATAATATTTCATAATAATTGAATCAATAAAACTACCTTTCTTTATATCATACTGTTAAGCAGATTTACTCAAGTAATATTTACTTATCCTTCTGTATGACATACCAACAGACTTCATGAAGCCACAACATGCAGCAAACTTTTATACTAAAGATATATCTGTTGACTATCTATTTTACTTACTGAGCAGGTATTGATACCATCAAGGTGCTAAATCATTAAAAAATGAAAGAAACTAAACAATTTTGTTTTCACCATAATTACTGTATAGATAATTTCTAAGACATGAAGAATTTGATATGGGATAGTTGGTGGGGCATTGTCCTTCTCACCTATTGCTCCTGGGATTTTATGTGTGAATGATCAACAAGACATTAAATGCAATCTACCCAGCTGTTAAAATCTGTACCAGCATGATATGTAATCCTACAAAGACTGGCCTACTATCAGGAATGACTCTGCCAATTCTATATTACTGACTAATTAAAATGGTACCAAATCTGCAGCTGTACACAGCATTTACCCCAACAACTTTAAAAATGACAAAGTCAAAATGTATATGTTAGTGTCTAAGATGTACCTTTTAGGATGTATTTGATCAAGGTCTGTGGACATGTTATATCTAAGACATACTTGACGGAGGTCTGTGGACAGGTTATATCTAAGACATACCTGACGGAGGTCTGTGGAGAGGTTATATCTAAGACATACTTGACGGAGGTTTGTGGACAGATAATATCTAAGACATACCCGACAGAAGGTCTGTGGACAGGTTATATCTAAGACATACCTGACGGAGGTCTGTGGACAGGTTATATCTAAGACATACCTGATGGAGGTCTGTCGACAGGTTATATCTAAGACATACTTGACGGAGGTTTGTGGACAGATAATATCTAAGACATACCTGACGGAGGTTTGTGGACAGGTTATATCTAAAACATACCTGACGGAGGTCTGTGGAGAGGTTATATCTAAGACATACCTGATGGAGGTCTGTCGACAGGTTGTATCTAAGACATACTTGACGGAGGTTTGTGGACAGATAATATCTAAGACATACCCGACGGAGGTCTGTGGACAGGTTATATCTAAGACATACCTGACGGAGGTATGTGGACAGGTTATATCTAAGACATACCTGACGGAGGTCTGTGGACAGGTTATATCTAAGACATACCTGACGGAGGTCTGTGGACAGGTTATATCTAAGACATACCTGACGGAGGTCTGTGGACAGGTTATATCTAAGACATACCTGACAGAGGTCTGTGGACAGGTTATATCTAAGACATACCTGACGGAGGTATGTGGACAGGTTATATCTAAGACATACCTGACGGAGGTATGTGGACAGGTTATATCTAAGACATACCTGACGGAGGTCTGTGGACAGGTTATATCTAAGACATACTTGACAGAGGTCTGTGGACAGGTTATATCTAAGACATACCTGACGGAGGTATGTGGACAGGTTATATCTAAGACATACTTGACAGAGGTCTGTGGACAGGTTATATCTAAGACATACTTGACAGAGGTCTGTGGACAGGTTATATCTAAGACATACCTGACGGAGGTCTGTGGACAGGTTATATCTAAGACATACCTGACGGAGGTCTGTGGACAGGTTATATCTAAGACATACCTGACGGAGGTATGTGGACAGGTTATATCTAAGACATACTTGACAGAGGTCTGTGGACAGGTTATATCTAAGACATACCTGACGGAGGTATGTGGACAGGTTATATCTAAGACATACCTGACAGAGGTCTGTGGACAGGTTATATCTAAGACATACCTGACGGAGGTATGTGGACAGGTTGTATCTAAGACATACTTGACAGAGGTCTGTGGACAGGTTATATCTAAGACATACTTGACAGAGGTCTGTGGACAGGTTATATCTAAGACATACCTGACGGAGGTATGTGGACAGGTTATATCTAAGACATACCTGACGGAGGTCTGTGGAGAGGTTATATCTAAGACATACCTGACAGAGGTCTGTGGACAGGTTATATCTAAGACATACCTGACGGAGGTATGTGGACAGGTTGTATCTAAGACATACTTGACAGAGGTCTGTGGACAGGTTATATCTAAGACATACTTGACAGAGGTCTGTGGACAGGTTATATCTAAGACATACCTGACGGAGGTATGTGGACAGGTTATATCTAAGACATACCTGACGGAGGTCTGTGGAGAGGTTATATCTAAGACATACCTGACGGAGGTCTGTGGAGAGGTTGACCAATTCATCATATCTGTTGAGTGACTGTCTTTCTGAGCGCAGTTCATTCTGTATAGCTGCAAGTCGTTCCTCTACACGCATGGCCACAGGATCAGTTTGAGGAAGACGTTTCAAGTTATCTGATATTTCTCTCATAGTCCTCCTTGATTCCAAGTCATTTCTGTCACATAAAATCAGTTAGAATAAATCTTCGGTGGCTATAACTTAAGTAAGGCCTTATTGGTAGCTCCATTGATATAACTACTGAATTTTTGTCTCTACACCAAATCACTACTCTGATTATTAGATCTCATTTCAGTAACAAGCAATTAAAATCTTATTAAGTACATGGAATCCTACATCTAAGGAACAGAAAGACTCTGACCAGTCAAGAAAATGGTCAACAGGGAGAAATGTAGGGAGATCACATTAGCTGGCAGTGATTTGCTGAATACTAGATCTCAGTGATAAGACAAATTTGTTCTAACCAGGTGAAATTCTCCATAACATCAGTTCTGCACCTACCTGTCTCGTCTCTCTGATTCCCTGTTGAAGCTAGTCTCAAGATCAAAATGGTCGTTAGATAAATCTCGGAAAGACCTGTGCAGCCCATGTAACTCTCTGTTCATATCATCGGCAAATCTAACAGTTGATCGGCGCTTTCGCCGCCGTCTATTTGCCATAGGTGATATTTCATATTCACTATCGCTCTGGAAAAATTGAATCGGGAGATATCGATATTAGCCCGAAAGAAGAAAATATGTCAATATTCCGTCTCTTTATATTCAATACGTGTATTTGGTTTCTACAGATGTGTATCCAGCCCTATTCAAGTTTGGTAAATCTGTGTCAGAGCCTCTTAATACTACCATATAAATGCTGTAATAGAAATGGAACTGGCACAGAATTACAAGCTACCAAGCTAAGCCTTAGTCATTGATGTGTTAAGGTCCCATTAAGAATATGCCTACAAGGTGTTCCCTGTCAGAAGATCACCCAGTAATGTGTATAATTGTCCAGCCATGCCATTCCCATCCATACAAACATTAACAGTAGTTTTATATGTACTTCTACACATCTCTGTACAAACAACATAACATCTTTCAGTTGATATTTTATCAATAAGATTAAACATGTTACCTTTAACTTTGTTCATGATCTTCCCCGAGACTAAAAACCGACTTGAATGATACACAAAGCAGATTCCTCTCTGTTCAAATTTAGTTGTCTACATTCACTTACAGATTAACCTTTTAAATTTTAAACTAATCCTGGTGAATCCATTGAAGATTTTCAAAGAAACAGCAATTTTAAGTGACTATTAAATCTGAATTTAATGGTTTACACAAACAGAAATCAGGTGTACACAGGTTTCGTAACGTTTATAGAAATGAATAGGTTTCTGTAGATTAAATCCCATTTGTAGAGATGTATAACTTTATGATGGACATAAACTATTTATAGAGATGTACAGGTTTATATAAAATAAATACTACTGGTATGAATAGAAATGCTTAACACACTATTTATAAATATTGTATAAATGCATGTTTATCCTTCTCTGAAATACATGTAAAATATATGAGAAAATCAAATGAGAAACAGTGAAATTTCCTCTCTATATCATTCAGTGTATAAATATGTTATATATTTGGCTATTGACTGGCTCTAAAATGTTATTGGTATATACAGTCAGCTAATAGGGACACATTATTTCAATCTGTGTTGTTTGGTCAGCATTGCTGCCTGATAAAGCCTGGCCACATAAATACAAAACAATATCAATAAATAAATAATTCAATCAATTAAACAATTTGGTTCTATTTTTATAAACAGGTGAAATGTTTAAATGCTACAGATTGTAAATCTACACTGTAGATAGAGAAATCTCTGTTTACCTGGTCGGAACTTTCCATTAATATCTTATATATTCCAGAGTTCTATAAAGCACACTGATATTCCTAAATATAAAGTAAAGATATCCATGTTTAGAATGGCTGACCACACTGGTCAGGAAACACTCATTGAATGGTATCAGAAAGCACAGGTAGCCCTTGTCAAGACTAAACATGTTGGTCAGCTATACTTAACTAATCACTAATTATCGGGGGGATTTAAATATTTATAAAGACATACAAGCATGTGTGACTTACCACTGCACTTATGTATTTGACAATAATGAGAGAAAATAGTGATAACTGGTTCGTTCCCTTTAATCATCCTACTTCTGTTGGAGATCTGACTTTAATCCCTACTTAATACTTTACCTGATTCTGCTAACTTTATTTCATACAAAATAATGACTAATATACATTAACTGTTTCACAGCGGTATTTTGACATATTCATTGGCATACATAGCAAATCCACATGTTTCTATAAAGGCTACAAGAATTTATATTACTGCATATAATCAAATTTTATCTCATGGAGATGAAAAATGCCTTAAAGAAAAAAACAGCTGAAATTTTGGTTTTGGGGGTATGGGAAAAATCAAAAGTTTCCATAAATTCTAAACTGCCTGAAAATCTTATCTTAGGATTTAACCCATATTAAAGACCTGCTTATTTCTTTTTTTGGTTAGGGTATGGGCTCCAGCAATAACATTCAATAGTGAGTTTAACACCAGCATTGTGACACACACAAACATTTTTAATTAAATCCAAATTAATAGTGGACATACTCCATAATCCCTGTGTAGTGGACTTCTCACTCTCTCCCGCTGGAGTTCATCCTGTGTTGCCCTCAAATCATCACGTAACTGTTGACAAAAATGCCAATCATATTAAAGAATTTAAAAATAACTCTTTTTACCATCACATGATGATGATATGTTATTTTCGTGTCTTTAACTCGAATTTTTTTAATAGCAGATCAGTTTTTTATCTTAATCAAAACAATAAATACCTCTGTTTTAATACCAAAATATGTCAACAATAAAACCTCCATTGTAATGGATTGCTAGGCTTTGATATGCCCTTCATTTACCTTATCTAATTACTTACAAATAGTGTGAACTGATTATAACATTAACAGGTATGATAAAAGGCAATGTGTTAAACAACAGATCAGCAATGAATTCACTTGTATCTCTATAGTATCAATAACAAGTTTGTTTTCATACAACACTGAATGACATAATAACAAACATATTTCTGATGTTGAACTTCCTCGGATAATGGTTGTGACAAGAGACATCAGAACTGATTTTGCCTAATCATTAAGTAACATTATATTATAATTACAGGACTTTGAAATAAAATTATAACTACAACTATCAGTGTGAGTACATGTACACTGGTAATATACAGATTTCTGATAGATCCCTGATAAAGTACAAGACACCCTGGCTTAACATTTGTCAGTGGACAGATGATAGAATAGCAAGATGTTATTATCTAATTAATTATGCATGAAGCTCCCACATGCCAGCATAAACTCTTTAGTAATCAGTGTTATTAATTATTTCGGGATAAAAGACATTTAAACATCAATTTATCCTACAAATGTGTAACAGATGAAAAGGACTAAGAAATAATACAACACGTAACGTTCTCTGATATCTCTGATCAACACAAAAAAGGTCACATTTCAAACATAAACAACAAATGCAAGTATAAATATCTTATACAAATACTGACAAAACAGTTGTAAAACTTACCCTGTCTGTAGAGCCTCTCTGTCTCTCTCCCAACCACAGGATATACTAAATATCAGTGGCCCTTCCTACACATCACAGGCTCTGCCCTGTCTGTGGAGCCTCTCCATCCTTCCCCCACTACCGACTACTATACATCACAGGCTCTGCCCTGTCTGTGGAGCCTCTCCATCCTTCCCCCACTACCGACTACTACACATCACAGGCTCTGCCCTGTCTGTGGAGCCTCTCCATCCTTCCCCCACTACGGACTACTATACATCACAGGTTCTGCCCTGTCTGTGGAGCCTCTCCATCCATCCCCCACTATGGACTACTACACATCACAGGCTCTGCCCTGTCTGTGGAGCCTCTCCATCCTTCCCCCACTACGGACTACTATACATCACAGGCTCTTCCCTGTCTGTGGAGCCTCTCCATCCTTCCCCCACTACGGACTACTATACATCACAGGTTCTGCCCTGTCTGTGGAGCCTCTCTATCCTTCCCCCACTTCGGACTACTATACATCACAAGCTCTGCCCTGTCTGTGGACCCTCTCCATCCTTCCCCCACTACGGACTACTATACATCAGTGGTCCTACCCTGCCTGTGGAGCCTCTCCATCCTTCCCCCACTACGGACTACTATACATCAGTGGTCCTACCCTGTCTGTGGAGCCTCTCCATCCTTCCCCCACTACAGACTACTATACATCAGTGGCCCTACCCTGTCTGTGGTGCCTCTCCATCCTTCCCCCACTACAAACTACTATACATCAGTGGCCCTTCCTATACATCACAGGCTCTGCCCTGTCTGTGGAGCCTCTCCTTCCTTCCCCCACTACAAACTACTATACATCAGTGGCCCTTCCTATACATCGCAGGCCCTTCCCTGTCTGTGGAGCCTCTCCATCCTTCCCCTTCCCCCGATACAGACTACTATACATCAGTGGCCCTACTCTGTCTTTGGTACCTCTACGTCCTTCCCCCACTACAGACTACTATACATCAGTGGCCTTACCCTGTCTGTGGAGCCTCTCCATCCTTCCCTCACTACAGACTACTATACATCAGTGGCCCTACCCTGTCTGTGGAGCCTCTCCATCCTTCCCCTACTACAGACTACTATACATCAGTGGCCCTACCCTGTCTTTGGAGCCTCTCCGTCCTTTCCCTACTACAGACTACTGTACATCAGTGGCCCTTCCCTGTCTGTGGTGCCTCCCCCTTCCTCCTCTTCCCCTAAAGACTGCTATACAACAGTGTACTGTCTCTCCTCTCCACTACAAAGTACACTATATATGAGAGGCCCTGTCTGTGGAGCCCTTTTTGTCTCTCACCTACTACAGACCACTAAACATAAGTGAACCTACCCTGTCTATGGAGCCTCTCTGTTCCCGACCTACATCTCTGTAGGTACCAAGCATACGATCCAATGACCTTAGGTTCCGTGTCGTACCCTACAATGAATACAAATAACAAGAATCAAAAAAAAATTTGCAGAGACAAAACTTAGATGTTTAACACCATCACTCTCAACAAGCAATCCTAACTAAAGTACAGCCAGTTATTTTCCTGTGTCAATTTTTTTTCTTTACAATTTTCAATCAAAATGAGAAAATTAATTTTGATGAATTAAAATTTTAGCAATCAGAATATAACAGGTTCTATCAATTATGCCAATCTTACTTCAGATGTTAAAATTTAATTCCTGACTATTAATTTATAAATCAGGTACTAGCCTGATCGAACGAGATTTGAAAACGATTATTGCTCAAAGGCACAAGTTTTCTGAAAAACCATAAACATATATAAAATTATTTGTATTATATAACATAAAACTCTTAATCAGACGGTTGAAAAAAATGATATTGTCATGAATAATCTTGAAATACTTGGAAATGAGTCAGCTAGTGACGACATCGATACATATTATTTTTTCATGGATCAAATTTTTGTGATACCATTAATGTCCCATGAAATAGTGAAAATATCATTCCCACGAAAATAGCTATATGAGCTATGTGATTCTAGTGAGGGGAGGTAAGTTTAGATGTTCTGTACAAAACAATGTCAAACTGATTTTCAAGAGAAGGCATCAGTCAGATTTTCGTTTTCTTACTGTTTGGTGTATATATGTTTTGGCATAAATACAACACTTTTACATTTGATTTCCTCACTTGGCTGGTAATCAGCAGTTCAAATTAATCTCACATCTTCCACGGCAATCAATTATATATGTGTATACTCCTGAACAGTCAACAAGAACTCACAAAAACAACCAATGAAAACTACCCAAAACAACCAGTGACAATTCCACAACACAACCAATGACAACTCCTAAAACAGCCAATGGCAACTCCTAAAACAGCCAAGGACAACTCCTAAAACAGCCAAGGACAACTCCTAAAACAGCCAAGGACAACTCCTAAAACAGCCAATGACAACTGATAACACATCAAATGACAAGTCACAAAAATGTCTATGACAACTTACAACACATCAATGGAAATAGCCAATCAGTATATCAAATCAGCACAAACAATTATAAGGCTTTTTTAGTATGTACTATATTATAAAAATAATATTGTGTGTTGTAGATGGTATGCTATCAAAAAATGATTAATATCTACCTCACTTTCTTCAGTGGGTAAAAGACAACCTGCCATCAGGATTTTGTTGTATTTTGTTTCATCTTGCCGATTAACTAGAGACTAACATAAATATTATTAAGAAAAGGTAAAATTGTCTATATAAAGTACCAAGTGAGATATATGGAACAGAATGATATATCACACCAACAAAAAAGACCTCAGCTTATGTCCTTGTATGTGGTTGTGATATCTGCAGACTTTAATAATTGGGCAACAACTGGTACTGAGATTTGTATTTGCAGCTTTCCCATAAAATATAGATTTGTATGCAATTCAGTTATAACTACCTTCTGTTAAAAGTTGCATCTTTCCAGAATTAACAGTAAATAGTTAAGTTCCTGGCAAAAACCAATAACAGATGAGAGTTATATAAGTCTTTACTTTAAGTACACAAGCAGATTTGTTGCCCGACTCAAAGCTGTTTATGTATATGACCAGTGGGCTCTATTGCTTTCCCCCCGAATGGATTTACAGAGTTGGACACAAAAACATTTACTGATAATGATTTAAGGAAAGTGTTGTAAGGAATAGTTAAGCATTCCTGGCACACAACTGTCTCACTGACCTAACCATTCTATCACGCACAGGTAAATAAACTTAAATATTCAACTTCTACAAAAGACTGAGAGAGGTGAATGATAAACCTATTTAACTTCCAATTCCATTTTCATGTCCAAATACATTGATTTAAATGTCAGTTTAATGTGTTCACAGATCTCACCATTAAAATGGGACTTATCCAAGCTATATAATAGAATAATGCAGATTTTACACCATTATTCAATACATGCCTATACTTTTTTTAATTAAATACCTTAAAAGCACAAAACCTTTAAATACACTTATCACAGACATTCCCAATTCACCGATTCATTAACAAGAATGAAATCTTAACGATTCTTTTCCTGCTGGGATTACTAACAATATCATACCTATATTTGGCTACTAACACAAAAACCTGCCTTAATAAATTTTATAATGGATCTGTAAACATTCATAACTTGATTATGATGAAAAGGATCAATCAGAGATGAAACCAGAGTTGAAAACTTGTTTGATCAATTGAGGTGGCTAAATAAGAATATTATTTTCAAATCAGAGTAATTTGACATTCTGGGTATAAGTATATATAGCAAACATTAACTCTAATAACAGAATGGTCATACAAAACTTTCTAAGTGTTCTTTATGGTAAAGTAAGTGATAATAAAATTCTGATCAAGCTATAGTGATGTAGGCTAGATAACCATTTTGAGGCCATTATAGGCAGTTGTTGTGTTTAACAGGATTGTACTGTATACATCATCAGGGCAGCAATGGCTATCAACAGCATTTTCTCCAGCTGCGGTAAACTGGTTTACTTTTTTATACTAAGACAAACTTCTCCCACAGCAATTAAAATCTTCACTCTTGTACTATTTCATTTAAAATTGTCCGGGTTTTATTATTCGATTAGTTTACAACAGCTTCTGCATGACAACAATCAGGGAATCCTTCAATATTTCATGGGTAGTAAGCAAAAATAAAATCTGACTTATTTCAATAAATTTTAGTGACGACACAGGCTAATATCGGCAAAACTAGCCATTATGGAAAAAGGGAATTTTTATTATTTTTGAGAGTCCTTTTGGTTAGAATTCAAAAAGGGGAAAAGGTACAAATATATTACTTACATGTAAAATAACATAAATACAATATGATAATCTTGAGGTTAGATCAGCTCTGTTTGGGGGAAAATCTTCCCTATTTTTGGGAATATTTTATACTCGGAGGGAAAAACATACCACTTGGGGAATCTTACCTTTTTTCGGTAGCAAAATTTATCTAGATCAATCTCTAGATGAATAAAAGAATTAGGAAACAGAATCATACTGATTACCTGTAGCAATGACCAATATACCAGTAGGTAAACATCATCATATCAGGGTGTAGATCACAAACAGTAAACAAGGAAATGTAAATAATACACCAGTGAGGAAATGTTTCATATGAAATTAATGAAAGCTGGGGAATAAACTCCACATATGGTAAAAAGGTCCCATCTGGGTTTTGATATCCTCCTGTCATAGTAATGGTTAATGTTTACCGTAAAAACCCACGTAATGTCCGCACCCCTTTTTTGACACAAAAATCTGGGGAAAAAACCCACCTTCCATGTAATGTCCACATGTCCGTAATGTAGATAACATCAGAGAGTGTAAGTTTGTATTACTTCACAGTACAGAGAAATACAGAAAAATAACACAAGTGAAAACTTTGGACTTGTAATATTTTTCTATATTTCCATTTTTTAAGCGGAATTCTGTCCACCTACTCTAGCACTAACACACTACCTCACCAAGATGAACCAATACACCAAGTACCAGTAGTTATAGTGTAGTAGATATAGCTCTGACAAACTTTTTCTTTAAGTGAAAAATTGAAATGTAGATCAGAGTGATATACTTTTGATACATTACACACCACCTCATCAAGGTGAACTCTCCCCAAATATGAAATTCTAGTGACCAGTCACATCGGATATAAAACCAAGACAAGATAGCAGAAAGACAGACCAAAGTGCATAAGGATGAACAGACAGATACAACATAAAATCATAGAAAATATACAGGCATGTAGAGATGGTCTCCAGAAAACATACGGATATTGTAGAGATATTTTATCAGGGTAGATCTCTAGAAAACATAAACTTCTTGAAGAACATCAGCATTATGATTCTGGGGTCATGAAAGCTCAGTTAGCAGGGTAATGGTCTTCACAACCTCAAGTGAAGATCCGAGATGTGAGGTTCAAAGTCCCCTACCATGGTGATGTGTTTCTCAGGAAATTGGGAAACTAACAGACTGGTTGGTGCTGTTGTGGTCATGTCCTTGGGCCAGACACTTTACCCCAATTGCAATGGATGGCAAGCACTGGGGCTCTCCATAAGTGAATTGTTTAGGTATATATGTAGCTACCAGCTAGTACAAGGCATTCCCACCTCAAATCTCAAAATGACCCTGGCTGAGTGACTGTTTACGGGGCACATCAAGACATAAAGACTTCACTACAAAGTTTGACTGGTATGAAAATTAAGATGATTACAGAAAGAACTTCACCACCAGGTTTGAATTAACTAAAAATGATAATAATTTCTAGGAGAACTCTGCACCATTTTCAGAAACTTCATTAGACAGCGTCTAAAAATACATTAGGGTCAAGAATGGAGATTACAACTCACCTGTAAGTTGTCTGTTAACTGATGAATTCTGTCATCCATTGCCACAATTTATTCACCCTGAAGGAAGAAAATCAAATGCAATGGATATACTGAAGTAAATGAGAAAGAGAAATAAAAGTTTGAGGAGTTCTCTTGGATGTATTACAATATATTGAAAAAATATTTTCCGTTACTCCCTTTTATTACAATGTTAATATATATGGCCAATAATTCATGGTTTTACTCTTTTGTGTGCATTCAGCATTTTATTATACCGGTAACTGAATGAAAAATTGTAGTATCAACCCGTCCAACACCACCCCCCCCCCCCCCCCACCAAAAATTAAAGCTCATAAACTCTTTTACTTCTTGTATCAAATATAAAATAAAACCTTTTTTCCTTTTTGTTTCAAAACTAAAATATAAAAAAAATAATTATGGTTAAGTATTGTAATATGCCTTTAATTGGAGAGTGAAAACGTTCCCAACAATGATACATGGCCAAATTTTGCAAGCTATGTATGTCATTCCTTCAACAAGATAAACAGATGATTGCCTCATAGCCAGGATGAGCCAAAATGAATGTACAATCATAATGAAAGAAGCCTTGAAAATTGTATATCCTTAAATGCAATCAGATACGAAGTATTAATCCTCTTAACACCTAATAATCCTGTTGTAAATAGCCATTCAATGATAACATATTTCTGAAAAATATCTTACCCACAGTAGGCTCAATTATAACGCCTCAGTTTTCTTGTTTGCATGTCCTCGTAAATTTACAATACATTACATTTCACTGCTTCTATCACAAAACATCACATTTTGGTATACATCTCCTCAATATTTAGCGAATTCAACAGAAATCCGTTAACCAGGTGTTTCTAGGTCACGTCGTTCATAGGAATCCTCTACTAGAAAGGAGTTTTCAGACGTGTTCAGTCATGTTCAAGTTTGGAGGTAATATTCGCCACGCAGACAACAAACCGTCTGTCGTTTCATTTCGTGAATAATTGAAGGACAAAACGGAATCAAACGGGCCCTATAACTAAACAATAAAGATCCAAGAAGAAAGCTGCAACAGGCTTTCACATTTCTTTCCTAGCGTGTAAGTGTCAAATTACTAATACCTTTGTTTTCATATCGACCCTCTGTGATGAATAATTGAATTACAAATTTGCTTTTATAGACGAGTTGTGAAACATGACAACGGCCCTGTCTGTGACCAACTGTATTTATATGAAATATTGGAGTAACCGCTTTTCTTTCGCTTACAAAATAGCATCAAACATGTAATATAAGGATGAAATGATGAGCCTGGACTTGTTTACATATCAAAACAGCCGCCATTGACCGACTGCTCCGTATTGGTAGTATATGCTGTAAATTCATTGGATAAAATAGTCACTGGGGCTTCTTTAGGGGAAACTGAGTGTGAAAAATTCCGTATATCATCGGGTCTTTTCGGTTTTTTTTTAAATTTGATTTGTGAGGCCAGCGCTATAATTATTGATGATTCTTCTGAACATTCGGAAACAACCTTAAGTAATCTAAGACAAATTAAAGCCGATTCGTACAATAATGATTGTACATATGGTATATAATTTAACTATTTGATAATTCGAGAATTCAGACAAAATATTATCCGAGATTGTTGTCAAATGAAAAATCAACAAAACAAACAAAAAGCTTCATTATATATTTTATAATATTAACTTCAATTATCAATAACTCCTTTTTCAATAATTCATTGTTCATCCGGTATAAACTCATCAGAAGTGGAAATAAAGGACACGACATAATTTCTACATGAACAACTTATCTCGATATTTTCCTAAAACAAAACCAATATGGGCAAATTTCTATCAAGCTGTATGATAAGCATGATAATTGAAATTTTCGTATTGTGAATTTTTCAGTTTTGGCTGACAACATCCTGCATCCTATGGTATTTACATGTCGCAGTTGCCTGTGTGATTCGATATCCAAAGGCTTGTTCCAAATATCACGATTTTCGTGAAGATGTCAGCGACAGACTCAAAACAATCTGTTTCGAGAGATGTAGTTGATAAGACATATTAACACAAATGAAACACAGGTAATTTGGATAGGAAGCAAAAAATATAGTGATGACTCTTTCCTTCCAGAATTGAACCTTCTCTGGGGCAATAATAAGTTTACTTTTTTGGGTATTGAATTTTCGGTCAACCTTAGTGAGATTCCTAGAATGAATTTTGACAAAAAAATAGTTAAACTGAAAGCAATTATTAACATGTGGCAAAGACGGAATCTTAGTCCTATTGGTAGAATTAACATAATTAAGTCACTTCTAATTTCCCAGTTCAATTATTTATTTATGACTCTTCCAAATCCTCCCGACAAAGTTCTTTCCGAATTAAATTAATTACTGTTCGAATTCCACTGGAATGGTAAATGTCATAGAATTAAAAAGGATGTGGTAATTCAACGCCATATAGATGGGGGGCTAAAAATGATAGATGTAGGAGCTTTTATGGATTCTCTTAAATTAGGATGGATAAGAAGAATCATTCAGTCATCAGGAAAATGGAAAGTTCTATTGAATTCTATTGTAGAGATAAAAAATTGTTTCATTGCGGAAAGGAATATGTTAAGTCATGTAGTAACAATTGCAGCAATATATTCTAGAAAGATGTTTTTAAATGTTGGGTTAGATTGAATAATTCCTTTCCTATGAGGCAAAATATGCCCGAGTCAATTTTTAAAAACCCTTTATGGTACAATAATGACATTCAAGTGGGCAATAGATATGTCTTCTATCCAGTATGGTTTAATGCTAGTATATATACCATCAATGACCTAATTAAAAATTCTGATCATTTGACATTTTTCTCCTTTGATGAGTTTCTTCATAAATTTTTAATCAATACCAATTATTTACAGCATTATGGCTTGATTACAGTCGTCACGTGTTTCTTGAGAAAACATGACTTCCATCCATTAGGACTATTTCAGCCTTTTATATCACTTCTATGGGAAATTTTTTATAAAGTCAAAAAGGTGCCAAAGACTTCTATAATGCTATTATTAAGCCAGCTCCAACCCCTACTGGTATTCGAAAATGGAGTGATGAGTTTGACTTTGATGATCAGAAGTGGAAAAATATATTAATAATTCCGTTTACTATTACAAAAAGTTCTAAGCTACAGTGGTTTCAAGTAAGGATTATACATCACATTCTGATTACGAACTCCTTTCTTTTCAATATTAATATAATACCTCGCCCTTTATGTACACTATGTAATATGGAAAGAGAAACTATCGTTCACTGTCTATGGGAGTGTATAGAGGTACAAACTCTATTGGAGAGATTTGAATCTCTTCTTGATATTCTTCTGATTCCTTTTTGGATAAACAAAGAAACATATTTATTTGGAATTATCCATCCTAATGCTAACACTGTAGATAACGAAATTTTAATTCTCATTAAACACTATGTTTATATGTCAAGATGTCTACAAAAATCTCTTAATTTAAGTGCTCTTATAAATAAGATTAAGGATCATTTCCATGTTCAAAAGTACAACATTTCCAGCAAAAACACTATTATGAAAACAAATTTTGGGAATAATTGGAAAAAATGGATGCCCATTTTGGAACTATAGTTTGTATGCTAACAAGTCTGTTCCCAGTGGCCATGGCCTTGACTTTACCAAACTGACTTTAAATTTATTGAATTTCCAAAAAATTAGTGCTATTTTTATTTAATAATGATTATAACCCTCCCATTTCTCTCTCTCTTTCCCTCTCTCGCGCGCTCTCTCTCTCTCTTACTCCTCTCTCCCTCTCTCTTTTTTGTTTAGGATGTATAATGTTTATATATATATATATATATATATATATATAAATGTATTCATGAGTGAGTATGTGTGTGTGAGAAAATATCTTTGATAAGTGTAAGTGATATGATATTGTATGTGTGTGTGTGTGTGTGTGTGTGTGTGTGTGTGAGTATTTTGTTAAGTACATGTAAGTTTGCTATGTGAGTGTAAGTTGGTGTGAATGTTGATGAGTGAGTTTGTGTGCAGTAAGTAGTAGATACATGTGCATGATGATAAAGATGATGATGATGATGATGATGATGCATGTATATGTGTAAGACATATTCAAGTAAGAGCACACAAGTGTGAGAGTGTGGGTGTATGTTTTTGTGTGGTTTCTCTTGTATATTGTGTATTGTGTAATATGTAAAAACTTGTCAAAAAATAAAAGAATTAAAAAAAAAAAAAAAAAAATGTAGTTGATAAAAATATCGGGATAGTTTAAAGGTCAAACCAAGCTTTGAACAACCTTGGGTAGGCCCCAGTTGTTCAAAGGCTGGTTCGAGATAACCAGTGGTTGGTGAAACATTTCAAATGTGTAGCAAATTAAATTGGTGTCATTCTTTATCATGGTAATAGGTGTAGATTTGTTGAGACACGTCATATTGAATTATTTAGAGTAATCATTTTGTGTTAAATCTCTTGTTAGTTCAGTAGCAACAACCTTGATTAATCCTCACCATACTTCAGTCTTTTGATAAAGACATCTTACACTGTAGTAACAGCATTTTGAACGGCATAGTCTAGTCTTATATGCATTCGAAGGTTCATATCGTAATACATAAGTTTACTATCGGGTTTAGTTTTTTTCCACAATAAAGTAAATATCTGATAGTAAGAGTTAAAAATCAGGACATGAACCTGCGAAGGAGTACAGCCTGGAGATGCCATGTTAGTAAAGTGTTGTCCAGAGGATTCGACTGGAAGTACTAATGCACTTTAATTTGGGTTGTCTGTGGGTGTTCTTGAACCAACGTATGTGTCGTATGATCATTCTGATGATTTTTAGGTCTGCTGATTAGTTGCAACTCTCTATATCGTCTACAATTTCTCGAGCATGTAACGTGACTTGCGTGGTTTGAACTGACCAAAAAGTGAGGTTGTGGGCATTGTGGTAAAGTTATGTAAGTATGTCAGATTACTTTCTGTTTCAAGACGACATGAGTACTCATACATATTATAAAAGTATTGGAGTGATATTTATCATGTGTAATGCTAAGCTTTATGGTACAGGACTACCCCACGTTGGGGTACTGATATTTAGGTGCTCCAACCGACTTACCATTAAGATGGATAGTATTGTGAAAGTCTAATCCTCTTTATAAATATAACCATTTATTACACCTGTGTTAAACAATGAAATAATGAGATTTGGGCTAGCTAAATCAATGTTAAGTTTATTAACAAATGGTAGTTAAAGCGATGGACGAGAGACAGAAAACATGTCAGTAACGGAATACATTGATTTATGGAAAACGATCAGACACCGAGATATATGAGTCGCGTTGCTCCATTGGTACCATTACATGTCTATGGTTCGCATTGCCCCATTACTACCGTTACAGATCTATAGTTCGCGTTGCCCCATTTGTACCGTTACAGATCTATGGTTCGCGTTGCCCCATTGGTACAATTACAGATCTATGGTTCGCGTTGCCCCATTGGTATCGTTACATATTTATGGTTCGCATTGCCCCATTGGTATCGTTACATGTCTATGGTTCGCGTTGCCCCATTTGAACCGTTACAGATCTATGGTTCGCATTGCCCCATTGGTACCGTTATATGTCTATGGTTCGCGTTATCCCATTGGTACCGTTACAGATATGTAGTTCGCGTTACCCTATTGGCACCAATACATATCTATGGTTCGCGTTGTCCTATTGGTACGTTACAGATCTATGATTCGCGTTGTCCCATTGGCACCAATACAGATCTATGGTTCGCA